TTGGCCAGAACGTAGTGTACCGGGGTACTACCATCTGGCCAAGTTTCAGCTCTCTCGGCCTTACGGTTTGGTCTGGGCAATAGTGACTTCGGCAGAATAATAATAATAATAATAATAAATATAGCTGCAAGCAGCAATTAACGGGGGTCAAGCGGTTTAGCAGGGTAAGGTCATATAGCAGTTAGGACACCTGTAAGTAGTTTATTCGACAACGAAATATACGATTACAGTTTTAGAGTTTATAGATTGAGCTAACAAATGTTTGATTAAACACTCCAGAAAAGCAACTTAGATTTTTACATATTGGCAAATTTTTTATGAACATTTCGAGTGACCGCTTTTATGTCAAAGTGAACAGTATAAGCAGCCCTATGATAACATGTGTAGATCGAGTCACGGCACCTTGGACAAAGACATGACATGTCAAATTTTAAGTTAATCAGATAAATGGTTACTCGGATACAGTGATTTTACATTGTATAGCGCCATCATGTGGCTATTGTCTACGAGTTTTATGCTATGAGCTTAGACTGAAATATTCTAAGCATATGTGTAACAAGTTTGGTGAAGATATTTTAATTCATTTATGAGTTATGGCTATTTTAGCTCTTCTTAATAAAAATGACAAAAGAGCAGTGAATAAGCTATTAATGATCTCCTACTGCCGTCTAGTGGCCACAGTGTAATTTATTTATGTGATTACAGCCATTTAGGTGTGCATAAACATATCCCTTCTATAATTGAGCATGTTCTAACTATATAAAATTAAAATTTTGTATTTTATTAAAATAATTAAAAATCTACAGAGTAAAAAGTGTGACAAGCTTTAACTAAATTTGATCTTAAATGGATTAACTGTGTTCATGCCATGTCAGTTTGGGATTCAGAATCCATTACATAACATTACATTACATTCTTTGCTATAGAGCAGTAAAATAAACATCATGTGCTCTGTTACTGCCATCTAGAAGCCACAGTTGTGATTTTCTTTACATGTTTTAAAACAAGGTGTTTAATTATAGAACCAGTTTTACCTATTAGAATTATTATGAAGAGGTTAACTGGGACCAAATTAGATGTTTAATGCATAACAGTGTTTACATCAGGTCAAAATGTGATTCAGATTGATCCTAAATGCAATTTCCCTGACTTTAAACTCAAAAAATGTAAAACAACAAAGATATGCAAATGTTTTGAACAATAAATAAGTGGTCTTGTTGTGACATCTAGTGGTTAGAAATGGTAGGTGACAGTTGAAAGTCTGTGTTATAGTGGCTAAAATGATAGAATATTGAAAATGTGTTTTTGAGACCTTTAAACATCCAAGATGGACAGAAAAAAATAACTTTTAAATCATTTCAGTGATAAGTGTGTAAATGAAGCACATTTACTTCATTTTTAAGCCATTTTAGCATGTTTTAGAACCATTTCCACTATTATAGCGCCACCTATTGCCCAATCTCCACAAGATTTTGCATGTTTATTCACATTGATATGCAACATCTGCTCACCAATTTCTGTGATGTTTTGGGTTTTCCTTATTGGTTAACAGGCATGTAGATTCGTGTAGACACGCCCCTTTTATAAATGAGCCTGTTACAGCTATCTAAAATGGAAAGTTCAACTTTTTTTTGATAATTATTGATCTACTCAGTCCAGAGGTTCATTTAACACTGGTTTCGTTGCGATTGAGTTAAAAACCAGGGACTAGTTTGCAAAAGTAGGTTTTGTTTATATTGATGGTTTTTTAATGAACGGTGTGAGTGACAGCAGTGGGTTTAGTGTCAAACTGTTCAGTATGAGCAGACCTATCATATGATATGTAGATTAAGTGTATTTGTGAAATAGTGTTTAAATGAAGCACATTTACTTTATTTTTAAGCCATTTGGCATGTTTTTAGGACTATTTTTGCTATTATAGCGCCACCTATGGTTTGATCTTCACAAAATTTTGCAAGTTTCTTCACATTGATATGGCACATGTGCTCACCGATTTCTGTGATGTTTTGAGTTTTCCTTATTGGTTTACAGGCATGTAGGTTCGTGTAGACACGCCCCTTTTGTAAATTAGCCTGTTACAGCTAGCCAAAGTGAAAAGTTCCACTTTTTTTTGATAATTATTGATCTACACAGTCCAGAGATTCTAACAACACTGGTTTCGTCGCGACTGAACTAAAAACCAGGGACTAGTTCGCAAAAGTAGGTTTTTCCTATATTGATGAATATTTAACGAACGGTGTAAGTGACAGCAGTGGTTTGAGTGTCAAACTGTTCGGTATGAGCAGGCCTATCATATGATATGTATTTTGTGTGGTTGCGCAAAGGGTTGTGTAATACACAACCCATTACACACTAAAAATACGTAAAATCGCCCCCTAGTGGCCGATTTCTTTCAAAATTCTTACAGCCCTCAAGGACCGTGAGTCGAACATGCCCAGCGAGTTTCGTTTTGATCACTCATCGTTAACCTTGTTAAATGGCTGCTCAATTTTTGTTGGCTAATGGCGGCCATGTTTTTTGAGATATGCCAATGTCCTTATAGTATGTTATGACAACTTGGTCAAAGACACTACATACCAAATTTCAAGCTGATTGGAGTAATGGTTGTAAGGTTAGAGTAATTTTTATGTTTTTTAAACTTTATAGCGCCACCATGTGGCCAAAGTCCACGGGTTTTGCACTGTCACATCAAATTAAGCTTACACATATGTGTACCAAGTTTGGTGAGGATATCTCATTCCTTTCAAAAGTTATAGCTACAATTAGCAATTAGCTTCAATTAGCCTTGAACATTGTTGTGTACTGTTTCGTGCGAGAAAAAAAATTTCAACTTTTTTTTGATAATTATTGATATTTAGTGTCCAGAGAACATTTCAGAGCTGGTTTGGTTCAAATTGGGCAAAAAACCTAGGACTAGTTCGCAAAAGTAGGTTTCGGACAAATCGCGATGTAGCGGGAAAACGGTCCACCGTAGAGAAAATCTGGGTCACTCCACTTTTGTTGGTGCTGACCCAAGGATTCCAAATATGTAATTTTTTTGAGTCTACGACAAACGGTGTACAAATGGCGGCCAAAATATTGGGTTTTGGCGCAATAGCGCCACCTATGGGCCGATTTGGCTGATCTTCGGTGAGAATGTAGTGTACCGGAGTACTACCATCTGACCAAGTTTCAGCTCTCTCGGACTTACGGTTTGGCCTGGGCAATAGTGACTTCGGCAGAATAATAATAATAAAAATCCTTACAAATACAATAGGGTTTCAGCGCTTCGCGCTTGACCCCCTAATAATAATAATAATAATAATAATAATAATAATAAAAATCTTAACAAAAACAATAGGGTTTCAGCGCTTCGCGCTTGACCCCCTAATAAGACGTATATCTTTCGTCAACTGTCAAGCATTTGTTGACTTTCCTGCACAAGCATCGGTCACAGTTCTAGCGGATTCATTTGGTCGTGATGACGAAAAAAACGCGAGCATAATGAATGATACTTTAGGAGGATCTTTACCTGTCCCATCGCGGCGATGTCCGTCTTGGAAGCGGCTGGAGTTCCTCATAGTCCAGGTGATATTGAAGAGCAGAGCGGGGTCAGTGCGTTCAGCACGGGTTGTGTAGCAGAGCGTGTGTTTGTCGTCGTCGGTTTGCGGAAACATTGTTTCGAAGCACTTCGGTGTGCAGTGATTTTAAAGACAGTATTTGTGTGCGCATTTAGATAACAGACACGCGTCTGAAAACGGCCTCATGAGAGTCCCACTTCAGAGAAAAGATTGAGGGCAGAGCAACGCCTATATAAGACTCACACGCATTATGTAATGGGCATGAGTTGCCTTTCAAGAACAGATTAATTAAATCGAGCCGTAGATAATGTGGAACACAATGACAACGTTTCTCTATCCGCTTAAAGAAACCGTACATTCTGTTCATCATGTACTGTACTCTTCCTCAGCAATAATGCACTTCCAGTAAAGCAGAAACCCAAGGGCAGAAGTAGATAAAATCGTGATTTATGTTATCAGTGGAGGAAGAAATCTGAAAGTCGTTGATTTATCAGTCACTATCATGCAAAACATGATGCATTTTGTGCTGTCATTGACTAATGCTGTCATCCAAGCAAGATAGTTGCATAAACTATCTAATTGTATGACAAATAGTATCTAAAAGTATTTGGATATTTAAGCCACTGCACACCTAAATGTATGTCAGTATTATATAAAATGTTATACTTCTATTTACGTTTAAGGAAAAAAAAATCTTTTAACATTATCAAGTTTTTCTAAAACAATAATTTTTCTTGAAAAAAAAATTGTATTGGTGCAAATGCATTATAAAAGCGAGTCATGCTTTCAGAAATTGAGATATACTGTTATTTTAGTTACTTGTAATGACATAATTGCATTATTATCATAAAAAAAGTGTTATATTGCAGGCCCGTAGCCAGCCTGGTGAAAGGGGTGGTTGTTGTTGTTTTTTCTCAAAATGTGGACATTTTTTGCAGTTATTTGCCTCATTTTCTATTTAATTATGAGGTTTAAAAACTGCATTGTAGTGAAATTTTAAGCACTATTTTTAGTTGGATTAGATTATCAGATGGTCATCATAATCATACTTTTTAATTGACCAAAATATAAAGATTTAGAATAAAGAAATATGAACAAATACTTACTTTTAAAATACTAATTTATTATACTTATAATCAATAGAAAAAAAAAATAAAAATCTGTTAAAGTTTTAAAATAAAAACTGTAGTCTATTGTCATTTATTAGAGAATTAACAAACTGCACATTCAACTTTCCTCAGTCAGAATTTTGAAAAATAAATAAATAAATAAATAACACAATAATAATAAAAGAGCTTAATGATTTTTCTAGCCTCTCTTGTAAAAAAGGACATTTGATTGAAAAGTCAGGGATAACAACAATAACCAAATTAATATTGAAATTGACTTTAATACAGTCCGCTTTTGGTGCTTCACTTCTCTTTATTGGTCATTTTTTGTTTCAAAATGTGACAAATCCAAGATTTAGAATAAAAGTAAAATGTTTTCTCTATTTAAAAACAATATAATATCGAAAGTTGACGTCGCTCACATCCGATTTATGTTTTCTTGCACAGCTGGATGTTGGACTCATGACAAATAATAGTTTGCATTGGCCAGAACTGATTAGCTGAAATCACACTGATGTGACGGTCGGGTCAACACAGAATTTGGCTTGGTCTTAAAGCCTTTTTCAATCGGTTATTTTCACTATTTATGTTGGTATAGCAGTCAAAATAGGATAAATGAGCTCATGTATGGGAGAAATTCTAGACTTTTGTCATTGAGGGGTGGGTCTTCTGAACCGCTGGACTGGACTACATGACATCCCATATTTTTAAAGGACATTTTTCTAAAGGTAATCATCATAGACACCATCGTAGACATCGTCATAGACATCTTCGACACCATCTGCAAATATAGAAACAAATCTTTCAAAGTCCTTAAGTTGTAAGCTGAGTTAAACAAATGATCACTTAAATTGAAGAGTTACCATTAGGATGAAAAGTTTGCTTCGATCCAGCTGAGAAGTGATCTTTATCCTACAACAAAAATATTTATGATATCAAGATAGATATAAATAAACAAGCCCTTATATCATACAGTATATAAGCAATATGAGCACATACGTGCATCTGAACAAATTACTTACAGGGGCCGTTGGGGCATGATAAGATGGAGGCGGTGGCACCTTTGATGGAACAGGAATGGTGGTCTCATGGGTTTGCATGCTAGCACTGCGATTCAATTTCAACATGGCTGCTCTGGCATGAATGGGAATTGGTGGGAGAGGACCCTTTCTTTGGGCGAGAGAAATGGATTCTTCATCAACACTGGGGAGTGTCTGTGGCGAGTCACGTATTTGGCCGGACATTGTGCTGAAAGCTGTGGCTTTGCTCTCTGAAGCGAGGGGGTGAGGAACTCTGGATGCACTTCTAAGTGAAAGCCTATGACAGCGATTAAACACATGTTTAAAAAACACAAATAACCAGAACACAATGAAAAAAAAAGTGATGTTGTGCTTCCCACCTCTTCTGCACTTCATATCCTCTAAAGATATTGTCAAGCTTATCTTTACATTCAGAGATACCCCCCACACTGTATCTGCGTACCAGCAAAGCAGAAGAAGCTGAAGAAGAGAGAAACCGCAGGTGTCACGCAGGTGTTCATAATTTAGTGTGATTTTTATGGGAAGTGCTCGGAGTCTTTCAGACCTTTGTTTTCGTTGATCTGCTTCTGTATTGCTGTGTAGAATTGCTTGGCTTCATCTTCGTCTGCGAAGTTTATTCCTATTTGACACTCCTGCATGCACAAACATTATTAGGAGGCTTGAAATTAATTTCTTTTCTATTGCTGAGCTAATTATGCAGTTTGAGGCCTATAACTGAAGCAACTAAATATATTTCGGCATGTGGATGCGGTCAAGAAATCAAAAGTGAGTTCGTTGACTCAGTTCATTGTGCCAGAAGGACTGATCTATTTCAGAAACTGCTGATCTACTGAAATTTTTACACACAACCAGCTTTAGGGTTTACAGAAAAAGATAAAATATCCAGTAAGCAGCAGTTCCCTGTGTGAAAAAGCCTAGCTGATGACCACCTTGAATCTCAAACAGGTTTCTTGAAGATAACAGTGAGTTCACTTAACTCAAATGTGCTCCACAATCACCAAATGTAGCCTACTTGTGGCTTAAAGGGACACTAAGTTACAACTTAAACATGACTAAATATTTTGTGTTGCACTAATGAACATAGTTTAAATGTAACGCTACATTCCAACTAAATATTTATGGTAGCCTCCCCTCATGTATAATAGTGGAAAAGAGATGACTGCGAGATTACATTGAGGAGCTCGAGATCGTATTGAAGAATGATCTCCCTCTACACACAGCCCTATTGTCCTCCAAAATCTCACATTTCTTTCAGTATGTGAAGGAAGAGTTTAATTTTAAATCAAGGAGTGTTTTGTGTTAATTGTATCCATCAATTAAATCGAGAATTTCTTCATAACTTTTGAGTTGACATGAGTTTTTCCTCCTGCTCTTTTCCCAAGGATATAATAATATCTAGTGTAATGTTTTGATAACCATGTATTCACGGCTCGTGATGCAGGTGTGTGCGTCGACTGTAGTGACTGACTGTAGTTTAATGTACTATAAAAATGTAATTTGTCATTAAATTTTTAAAGGACAGTTATATATAGATGCATTAGTTGCAGAATTTTAAAGCAGTTTAACAATTTAAATGCTTTTCATTGGATATTACGTCATTTAATGAGACTACGCATGATTTACGGAGAGCTTACGGCCTACAGTACTAACTACGGTTTGCCTTAAGAACACGTGGTGCAACCAAAGTGAGAACAAATTTAGTTACAAACTAGCTAGGAGTTACTAAGCCCCTAGTGTGGACTTTATGTTGCAGTTTAAGAAAGAACTTTAAGAAATAAAAGCTGGTGCAACCCTGCCTTGTGTTTTCCAAACAACGTCATAACTCACGGCTGAACTGTCAAAGTGCGATGCATCGTTTGGGAAAAGAACAATGTAGTAACGAGTGTTTCCCAAAACTGTAGTTTCACTGTTGCAGATCCATCGATTGAACCACGTTAGTTATAACGTAAATGCTCTAAATGGCGTGGTAACAACTTCTTTAGAGAATAACTCCATTATTTCTCTGTGCAAATTATATTATTTTACACGCACACACATTTAAAAAAAAAATCCAAAATTAGTTTTGGTAAAAAACATGCACTCGTTTTCCATATTAAAAAAATAATATTTAAATGGCACATATAGGGCCCATGTTTCCTTTACAAATATTATTGAAAACATTATCTATTCTATTCTAAAACATAAAGTTACCCACAAAAGCTAACACATATTCTAATATCATATATAAATCATATAAATAAATAAATAAATAATGAGGCTATTTATAAAAAAAATAATTTAATATTTATTATTTATTAGGAAATTTAAAAAATCATGCTTTAATAATAATAATATCATGATGATGATGATGATTATTATTATAATTTTTATTATTATTATTATTATTATTAAGATTGTTTATTTATTTTTTAAGTTTACTTTTACAGTTTGACACATGCAACCCACAGCAGAATTGTTCTAACCAGCAGGCCCATGTCATCTACAGTACAGATACTTCATAATAGCCTGCTTAAATTTGCGAAGCAGTTTGCAAATGTTCGCTGGAACGATGGATTTAAGAAACGCCAAATCAATGAACTATGTTTGTTACGAGGGAACTTGCGACCTTAGTTGGCTAACGATAGTTTTTGGAAATGCACCCCAGATCTCAATCCAGTAAAGCAGCGTTGGGATGTGTTGGAATGGGAGATTCACATCATGGATGCGCAGCCGAAAAAACTGAAAAGTAACTATTTTACGTTTTGTCAGTTAAGTGGCTAATTTGTACAAGTTCAGTTGTATGAAAATGTATGATTTTTAAAAGTAGTCGTGGCACCCAACCCCACCCCTAAACCCAACCGTCATTGGTGGATAAGAAAATCATATTAAATTGTCTGAATTAGATCGTACGTTCATACAATTAGCCACTTAATAAGCAATTTAAGAATTACCATGAGATTGTGTTAATATTTAGTTATGCTCATTTATCTACTCCCATTAGAGCTTTCACAATTAATGCATAGTGAAAGTCATGTCATACATTGAGTCAGAAGTTAGCCAAGAAGTTGTCGAGAGTCAGTAATTTGAGTTTAGAATGAATTTTTAAAATATATATTTTTGTTATAAAAACACATTTATCCAATAACCATCCCATGCACTCGTGGACGCTTCAAAAAAGGGCCACTACCCAACATCATCATAGCATTAAAGAGGCAGGATAAACTGTAAAACTGCTCAAACTGGGTTTATCTGACAAAAGAAAGTTGAATATACTGAGAGTTGATTGAGAATGAGAACTAATCAGACATTTGTAATACTTAATTGGCCTCAAAGTAGAAAAAAAGCATGGATGCATATATACATATACTGTTATATATTTTCGAAGTCGACACCAGAGTTGAGTTGAAGCAATGGTTTTGTCACTCACATCACCAGGGAATGTGTGGAAATAAGGACTGGCCTCTGAGTACTTAAATGGTGTATACAGCTCCTGTTCCCACTGCATCTTCACCTTCTAAAGAAAGAAACATAAATACAGTGATCACATTTCAGGCATCAAAAACCCTCCAAAGGAGCTGCTGAAACAGATCTACACTTCCATCATCTGCATGTCAATAACTGTCTGGTTTAGCTCAGCTATGAAATCTGACCTCCGAAGACTATGTTGGATAGTTCAGACTGGTGAACAAAGCACCTGAAGAACCTTTCCTACCCTTCAAGAACTGTATCCAGAGCAAACACAAGGGCTGCCAAAATCACTCTGAACCCCTCACACTGTCACTTTGCCACTTTTACCTTCTGGTCAACGAAACAGAGCACTGTGCAGAAACAGTTCATTCCCTCAGGCAATCCATCTCATGAACAACTTACAGTTGAATTCAGAATTATTAGCCCCCCTGAATTATTAGCGCCCCTGTTTATTTTTTTCCCCAATTTCTGTTCTGTTCTGGGAAGATTGTTTCAGCACATTTCTAAGCATAACAGTTTAAAAAAATTATTTCTAATAATTGATTTTTTTTTAATTTTCCATGATGACAGTAAATAATATTTTACTAGATATTTTTCAAGACACTTCTATACAGATTAAAGTGACATTTACAGGCTTAACTAGGTTAATAAGGTGAACTAGGCAAGTTATGGTAATTAGTCAAGTTATTATATATCGATGGTTTGTTCTGTAGATTATCGAGAAAAAAAATTAGCTTAAAGGGGCTAATAATTTTGTCCCAAAAATGTTTTTTAAAAAAATAATAACTGCTTTTATTCTAGCCGAAATAAAACAAATAAGACTTTCTTCAGAAGAAAAAATATTATCAGACATACAGTGAAAATTTCATTGCTCTGTTAAAAATCATTTGGGAAATATTTAAAATCAATAAAATAAAAATCAAAAGGGGGCTAATAATTCTGACTTCAACTGTATGATAGTCATTGTGAGATAACTTGTGGGGGAAACCGGAGCCCCCGGAGGAAACCCACGCGAACGCAGGGAGAACATGCAAAACTCCACACAGAAACACCAACTGACCCAGCTGAGGCTCGAACCAGCGACCTTCTTGCTGTGAGGCGACAGCACTACCTACTGCGCCGCTGTTACTTTTTATACACACTGATTTATTTACCAACATACTTTCATGCCAATTTGCACACAACAGCTGCACATATGACACTGTATATAGTAATATGCCTGTACATACTCAATTTGTATATTTTCAATCACTGTTTACTTTTTATTTTTAAAACATATGTATCTGTTTTTTTGTCTTGTCTCTGTCATTCTGTTGCACTGTAGAAGCTCTGTCACCAAAACAAATTCCTTGTATGTGTGAATATACCTGGCAACTCTTTCTAATTCTAAAAAGTGATACTATTTGCATCCACAATTAAAAGGGGATGAAAATGAGGAACCACTGAAGCCTTTGAATAAGCGATTTTTGTAAAAAGTGTAGTCTTAGTATTAGTGTTGAATAGGGGTCACCAATCTCATTCCTGGAGGTCCGGTGCCCTGCAGGGTTTAGCTCCAACTTGCCTCAACACACCTGCCTGGGTGTTTAAATTACACCTATTAAGACCTTGATTAGCTTGTTCAGGTGTGTTTGATTAGGGTGGGAGCTAAAATCTGCAGGACACCGGCCCACCAGGAGCAAGTTTGGTGACCCCTGGTGTAGAATGAACAAATGAATGAAATACGATATAAATTAAGCCTGCAGTGGAATTAGATATTCCATTTGGTGTCTAAATCAAATTGAATTTGTTTGTGTATAGAAAGCATATTAAAATATTTAGAAGAATGAATTATCACACTTAGGCTTTTTATATTTCAAATGTTTAAAAGCATCAACTAAACCAAGAATAGTGGTGAATTATGAAAATTCAACACGTCTAAACAATTTAACGATTCTTAAATAAAAGCTTTTAATATGTCCTTGAATGTTTCAGCAAATGCCAAGTTATTTGGTGGTATATTGTTGCACTGAAACACAGTTTAATGGTCTCCTGTAAAAGATGTCTAATAGGCGATGCAATTGATTCTCCATGTAAGATCTGTAGCCTCACCTTATTAAGACAGTAGAGTCTCATGAATGTTGATTGGATTGTTTTATCTTGCACCAGACATAGGACTCCAAAACTGTGACTTTTCCACTCTTTTTTCTGTGGAGCGACTGCCATTACCAGCTGGACAATACCACATGCTAAAACCTGTCCAAAAACATACATATGATAATACATGTGTGTCTATAAACAATAGTGCATGCTAAAACCTGTACAAAAACATACATGTGTGTATGCGCATGTCATCATTCCCAGTCATATCCACATGCAAACTGAATAGGACCATTTTTTTAATTTCTTTAATATCTATATACAGTTGAAGTCAAAATTATTAGCCCCACTGTTTATTTTTCCCACCTATTTCTGTTTAACGGAGACAAGATTTTTACACACATTTCTGAACATATTAGTTTTAATAACGCATTTCTAATAACTGATTTATTTTATCTTTGCCATGATGACAGCAAATAAAATTTGACTATATTTTTCAAGACTCTTCTATACAGCTTAAAGTGACATTTAAAGGCTTAACTAGGTTAATTAGGTTAACTAGGCAGGTTAGAGTAATTAGGCAAGTTATTATATAACGATGGTTTGTTTTGTAGACTATCAAAAGATCAAATATAGCTTAAAGGGGCTAATAATTTATAATTTTGACCTTAAAATGTATTTTAAAAAATGTCAAACTTTTATTTTAGCCGAAATAAAACACATAAGACTTTTTTCAGAAGAAAAAATATTATCAGACATACTGTGAAAATTTCCTTGCTCTGTTAAACATCATTTGGGAAATACTTTTTAAAAAAATTCAAAGGTGGGCTAATAATTCTGACACAAATATATATATATATATATATATATAAATATATATATATATATATATATATATATATATATATATATATATATATATTTTTTTTTTTTTCACACATAATTACTTCTTCAACCACAAATACAGCTCTATTTACTGTGTAATTTTTAGTCGACATAAATATGCAGTTTTGTCTGAAATACAATGTTTGCATAAGTTTGCATAATTGAAAAAATGTCCCATGGCTGTTCTAGCTTCTGCTTGTGAATCATTAAAATAACCACTGTGTGTTCTTTCTACAAACCAGATAAACCAGATCAAGTTATATATTTGAAGGACGGAATAATCTGATGATTATTTAACGAGAGGTCCAGATAAAGTCAAATGCAAGAAAAAAATGGCATCAAACACATGTGCCTCTGTGTTGACTATCAAGAATGACAAGTTTTCTACTCACAGTCTCCATAGAAAACATACAGCACACATATAAACATATTGAGATGGTACATCGAGCTAAATAAACAAGTTTGTTTATCTGAATCTTCTCTGAAGGTAAAATCATTTATATTATCTATGATTTTATTAACCATGATTAAACTAACATAACAGTAGTGCAATAACCTGACTTCTGTTCATTCTAAGGCTTGTTTTAGAAATGAAGTATTTAGATGTGGCAAGTTATAATGAAAGATCTAAACAATGATGAATGAAGAATAAGAAGTGAACTCACACTACATTCCTGACTTAGTAAATTGAAGAGAAGGCCGTTCTCACGAGTCGACAGGAGCGGACTCAAAATGCGTGACATCTTTTCGTCCTCTATTTTGACTTCTGTTTTGTCATTTCACAGGCGTCCTGATCTATATCATCAAACAAATCACTCGGCCTTATACTTCCTAATGCAAATACCCCAGTACCAGAAATAACAACACCGCTCTGTTCACTGAACAAACATAAAAAATGCATAAAGGATTTATTTTTTTAATTTATGCTTTGTACAAATATTTATTAAATTGAGCATGGTTAATTTAGTCAATTTTCTGTAAGATAAAAAATTAATTGAGTGCCAAAAACAGCTGTAAAACTTTAAATAGCAGTATAAGGGGTATTTCAGCATTATGTGCCACCCTCTGATGGTAAAAAAATTCAAACAATCAGTACATTTTGGACACCAATAATCCGACAAAGACAATAGGTACTCATTACAAGTCGACCATGTAAAAAGTGATTTTTGATTAATTTAATCCGATTAAGGTCATAATTGAACTAAACTGATGCAGTGCAGACTTGTAAACACCTTAATCAAACAATTACCGTCATGTTAGACTTTTAGTCGCATTTTGCGACAGGATAATTCATACATACACGGCTTTATGACACTATTCTCTGCACCAATCGAGATTTTATTGTACAAAGCATAATATTTTGGAGCAGTAAACATGTCAGGGTAAATATTTTAAATAAATCATTAACTTCTGCTCTATTCATTAGTTTCAAAAACATAGATTTCTTTACAACACATAAAAAATATATTTAAAAAACCTTACATATACCTTGAGAATAGTAACAAAACATTTTAGCGTTATTAAAACCTTGACTTTTCCAAATCGCGGTAAACCTTGAAACCGGTTATCATCCCATGCCTAATGTGGACAGCATGGCGACGCAATGACGTTAATCGAATTATGTGCTATAACATGAAAAAACAGAATCATGAAAGGAACATTCAGAAAGCAACTCATGAAAACACCTTAATCATATTATTATCTTATTCAGATTAAGGCCAATAATTCGATCACTGATGTCCTTGTAAATGTAGTCAGCGTTACGTTCAATATAGGCAATGATTCAAAAATGTCCTAGAGGCTGTACATCTTGCGAGCTTCTATATCTCCAGAGGTTGAATATCCCAAATGGTTCACAGGCCAGTGTCCGGGACTCGGCACAGCAGTGCGTTCAATATGCTGAAATAAAACCATTGCAGGAGAACTTGTCTTTACAGGCAGAAACAAGCGCACATGATCTTCCTTTCCAGGCCAAAAGGCATTAGAATCTGCCCATCCAGTTGACTGCTTCTTCCTACAAAACACATCAAAATTACTTTCTTTTTTGATTTACTTTTTTTCCTGGATAAGACTGAAGAAAGAGAGACAAAGAAATTGCAGAAAACACCTAAAAAGTGCTTCAGTGTAACATTAACAGATATAGAAGTCTATCTAATCTTGTCAGGCATATTTAGAAGACATTGAACCCATTTTCAGCAAGAACTGATCTTATAATATTTTGCATAATTGAATGAAAATATGTATAATATATCAATTATGAATAATATAATATAAATAATTTATATTATTTAATATAGACATTTTATTACATACCAGAATAATTCATTAAGACCAGAATAAATCATGTTTCAAATTTGTTGTTTTTTGGCTCAGAAAAAAAAGAAATCAATTAAAATCATCTTGGACCTGCACTGTAAAAAAATCTGGGTTCCACACAATCGATTTGTGTTGAGACAACACAAAGGAACTAAGTTAGCTTGTTAGTTTTTACAAATTTAAGTGGTTTTATAAACTCATTTTGAGAGCAGCACGTGCTATAAATGATCAAGGCTGGTCTCTCATCCGTAATAAGCAATAATCCAATCAGACTGATCCAAGCCTACAATAAATAGACCTATTTCACCCTACAGCCTTATCTTTATTTTGGAATCACCCATTCCACCCCATCTCCTTCTTTTCCTCATTTAGCAGGGGAGCTCTCGAGACCTGCCTGATCTTGGACCCCCTAACATGCTAACTGACCAGGCAGGTACCCTGGGCTCTCCAAGCTCAGGGTTCTCTCCCGGGACAGCATGTCAAACTGAAACAACATCTAAGTGTAAACTCTTGGTGTGGGTTCAACATAAAACACTTAGTTTGTCCCAAAAACAACTCAAGAATTGTGTTGTTTCAGCTTATTTGAAATAATTAGTTTGAACAAACAGCAACTCTTTTTTTTTTTTAGTGTAATCAGTAGATTGTTCCTCATTAAGAGACTTACTTGTCTCTGTGTGCTCCATTTTGGACTTGAAGTGTTTTGGGTTTCCTGATGAACGTCAGACCTTGTTCTGGTCCTCGACAGCCTAAGTGAGCTTTCCCCTGCAATTTGGAACTATACAGGTTCAGGTCACTAGGGTGCAGCAGAACTAACAGATGGAGACAATGTCAGTTTGCATTCGTGTTCTGCATGCATTCATTCTGTCCTGTGAATGTGCTATAGCGCATATGTGCAGTTTCTACTGTATATTACCTCTCTGTAGAGTGGCTTGGCTCACATTAAGCCCCTGTCGTTGGCATTGCTCCAGTGATTTCAGGTATGCACTAGAGCAAAGTCTTCTGAAACGATCCACTTCTCTGGCCATAGACCCGCTCAGGGCAGAAGGGGAAGAGCTCAGACATCTGCGCATGATTACAAACACCTCCACATCCTGAAGACCCTCCTAAACACATATACATCTGCAGTAGTGCTGCTTGAATCTTAAATCAGCTGGAATAATTTGATACTATTATTAATATTTAATTATAAAATTAAGTGTTACTATTAATAAATAATGAGTTCAATAAATAATGTTGAATTATATGGGGAATAAACAGCTACATTGAACATGTATTGCTCTGAAAACTGAAAATGCTTTTTCATCTTTGACTCAAGTCCAGTTGATGGCAAAATTATTAGCCCTCCTGTGACATTTAAACTCTTTTTCTACTATTTATCAAGTGCTGTTTAATGAACAGAAGATTTTTCAAGACATTTCCAAACATAATAGTTTAATAACTCATTTCTAATAACTGATTTGTCTTTGCCTTGATGACAGAACTTAATATTTCACTAGTTACTGTGTTCAGTAGCTAATTGGAATTAAATCATTTCTTAAGGTGGCAAATAATATTAACCTCATGAGAAAAAATAATAAAAAAAACAATAATATTAAAAAAAATAAAAAAAAAACAGCCAAGTTTTTTTTTCTCAGAGGGGCTAATAATTTTACCTATACTACCTTTACCTGTATTTACATGGTACATGGATGTACATTGTACATGATATGAAAATAAATACTGTGATCAAATATCACATTCATGTATTTGCTGTTGGTATTGGTAATGAAATCAATTCTTAATAATGGCCTGCTATAATAATGTTCATGTGATGCTCTACCTGGTCATCTCTCTGGTCTACATGAGTTTTAAAGTGAGGTCCTGATGAAATCTCTTTCTCATTGTCTGCATTCCAATAACATAAAACAAAATACCCCATGATATCACACTCTGAAAGAAATTCATGTTCACAATCACATCTTTGCACTTGTAGAAGTTCTTGCCCATCCATTTAACCTCTGAACAAAACATACCAGGGTTTAAGTTTAGTTCTCTTTCCTGATGCTTTCTGCTCCAGGTCTGAATAGCAGCTGCCAGGTCATCCACAGTCACTGAGTCTCCATCCTTACTATTTAAAGAGGACATCAGCACATTCATTCGCTCAGGTGGGATCAAGAAGCCTTTCTACAAACAAACCAAAACACAAATTAGCTGTTCTGGTTAATCTTGCTGTTCTGGTTTTAGAAACAATATTTCTGTGAAGTCCAAAAAACTAAATCTGCATATGCACACACCTTCTTAAACAGAGTAGACAGATCTGCTCGCTTTAATCTTCCAGTCCCATTCCAATCCAAGAGTTTAGAGAAACTGCAGGCTTCACGCATGCGCAGAAAACACTTCACTTCTTCAACGTCACGCTGAAGTGTGCGATGAGACTGGAAAAGACAAATGTTTTGCTGAAAATATGAATCTATTGAATATATAGAAAAAAATAGTTTGTTTAATATAGTTTTTGAAATTTATTTGGTTTAGATATACTCCAAGCAAAATGCAGTAAGCACCTGTCAGTTTTGAAATGTGTGAAGTGTTTATCGTCTAATAAGAAAACATAAAAAATACACATCCAAAATAAATAATTTCCACAATTATAAACATTTTAGATTGTAAAATCTCCGAATGCATCGGAATGATAAAAAAATCTCAAAAACCTCCTCTGCAAAATAGGCTACTGACAGTCCGTCTAAAAACGAAACAAAAAAATTCAACCAATATTTAGATTTTATTTTCTGCGTGTGCGTGTGCGTGTGCTAGAATGAAAATTAGCACACGCTTCATTGATCCTGATCATGCATAATATATTTCCATATTTTTAAAAACATGAGTGTATTTCTGTAATCAACTGAGAAGTTCTAATATTGACCTGCAATGTCTGAAATCTTTTTTTCAAATGTTTCTCTACTACTGCAACTGAATTCATACACTTTCTAGAGCAGGGGTCACCAACCCTGTTCCTGGAGAGCTACCTTCCTGCACATTTCAGTTGCAACCCTGACCAAATACACCTGATTGTAATTATCAAGTGCTGCTTAGGTACTATTAACGGGTTCAGGTGTTTGATCAGGGTTGGGACTGAATTCTGCAGGAAGGTAGCTCTCCAGGAACAGGGTTGTTGACCCCTGTTCTAGAGCCACAATTCAATTCAATCTAAGTTTGAACTATCAATAATTTTTACTCCTACTTTGGCATCCTATGGTGGTGGTGTACAAATACTTGCTTCTGGAGGGAAAGATGCTGAAATCCGCTTAGCTCGTCTGTCTCGTTCCGCGATGTGAATCTCCAGGTCGGAGAGTATCGGTTTATTATTGATCCATTTGCGCAGATTTCCCATCCCGTCCACCGCCCGTCTGAAGGCTCTCCTGTCGCTGATCCAGTCAGGGTGTTCGGCGGGTTTGTCTTCAGGGAAGCGGTTGTAAAATAACTGAGCAGTAGCGCCACTGTGATCTGATGCAGGTACAGCAGGTCGAGCGTCATGGCATGTTGGCTGCGGACGAGTTGGGGGAAAGATGCTCATTTTATCCATAATATGCTTCCTAAAGGCACTACTGCTGCATTTTCGCTGTCCCAACAAACCACATGCCATTTGAAATCGGTACGTTTCTGTCAAATCACGCTTTTTAAATCGCCTGAATTTCTCTTCCAGCGTCGGGTCACCCAGTAAACACTCCATACCCATTGTAGGACTTTTAGTCATTGTTAAAAAATTAAATCTCCAAAAACTAAAAATCCTAACGAAATAAACACAATTTAATTAATGTATTTTTATTAAACGCCACCTACTTGCTTCTTATAGCCTGTGTAGCTGTGGAGAATGTTAAGAAGGATCTGCAGTAGTCTATGGGTGGCAAGTTTACATATGTATCCATGACAGCCATTCTTCTGACTCAAAGGTCAAACCTGTTCTTCTTTTCACTCAAGACAGTCATGGACTTAATTATTAAATCATATTAAAGTCAAACACATACAAAAAGCTATTGCAAAACTAAAAAAAATATGATGTTATATCAGAATATCAGCATTTACAAGAGACATGACACTCATCCTTTTGCCCATTCATCTAAAATAGTTTATTTAAATCAGTTCACTAAAATCAAATTTCAGAGCCAAAATCATAGATATAAACTGTAGATATCGCATACGGACCCTGAGCATGCGTCAATAGTGTCGCCACATTTGTACAGTGCTCCCAGGACAAAAGTCACTCAGCTGCTCTAGTCTAGTCTACCAGACTAAAGTGAAGAGCGGAGGGGAGGGGTGTCTGTCTGGACGAAAAAATTTAAAATGTTGTTAAATTAAGTATGAAAACAAGATGCAGTGCTAGAAACTTGTATTATTATCGGCTCAGTGAAAGAGTCGTTCATATTGAAGATTCATTCACAAACAAATCGCTCTCTCTGTTAGCATTAGAAGTGAAAGCAGAAGAGGGGGTGTTTCAGGATTTCAAATTTAACAGGGTGGGAGATAATACATTTCCATGCACACAAACACGTGCTCTTTGTCAGGAATGCCCGTGCAGTCACATCAATATAGAAAAGGGATGTAAAATGATAATTTTCGTAATTAAAAAAATATTTGTATTCTGACCACCGGGAAAACTCCTGATTCCAAATCATAGATATATGTGTATATGTCTCTGGATGTCCAGTCCTCCACTACACCTTGGTCCCACATTCATTTCAAAGGAGCACAACCCTGTACTAAAATGGTGGCTCTATTGACGCATTCCATCCAATAGACAACAATAGTGAGGGCGACATCTAATGTAAATATCTATGGCCAACAACTATGGCTTTATTGTTTCCATTTATGACATCAGGAAGACATACAGTGGCGTGCAAAAGTGGCCCTTGAACTTTTCCACATTTTCTTACATTAAGACTGGTGCGGAGATTCACCTTCCAACAATAGACATAAATCCAATCGAGAATCCGTGGCAAATTCTGAAAACTGCTGTTCATAAATGCTCTCCATCTAATCTGACTCAGCTTGAATTGTTTTGCAAGAAAGAATGGGCAAAGATTCAGTCTCTAGATGTGCAAAGCTGGTAGAGACATACCTAAAGGGGGTAAAGGGGGTTCCACAAAGTATTGCACACTTCACTTTTCAGATTTTTATTTGTAAAAAAAAAAAATGTATAATTAACTACAATCGTTTGCCACTTTGCTTTGGTCTGTCACATAACATTCCAATAAAATGTATTTATGTTTGTTGTCATGTGACAAAATGTGGAAAAGTTCAAGGGGTATGAATATTTTTGCAAGGCATTGTACCATAAAAAAGTTGAAATCTATTATTACAGCATAATCTTGAACACTGATGTATTTGACTGCAATTTTTATGTTAAAGGCTTAATAAGATTTTCATTAACCACCATTTTTAGATTGAACAAAACAGTATTTGTGCTTCTGGTAACTGATTTGTGTGTGTATGTGTGTGTGAATAAGGTTTAAATTGTTTCTAGTAATTCTGTTCAACTTCAGTGTGTATAGTTCAGTTTATCCCTGCAGTGCTCGGTCCAGGATGTGTTCTTCCTCTACAGGGAAAGGCATTGTGACTAACAGCTGTTGCTGGTCCTCCATGGTGCGCTGAATTGTCTCATAAGCATTAGCGTTGCCTGACCAGCATCTCCGTGCCACCTAGTGATATACACATCAGCATTTATAAAGTTATAAATATACACACAATGCACATAGAAAGATATAAAGAGACTGACCCCGTTAGAGACATCCCAGTTCAACATTGTTCTAGCTCTTCGCTCTGCCTCTTCAGATCCATCCAGAACCAATCCAAATCCACCATTTATCACCTCTCCCCTGATGATATCATTTATTGATATATTTATTGATGCATTTTCATTCTACAATGTGTTTTGTCAAACAATCAGTAACAATTTTAACCGAATAAATTATAATTATATGGCCATATCAGATCTCTCCTCACCATCCTACTCCACCTCCGTTGTGCAAAGACACCCACGTGGCACCACGAAAAGCATCACCAACAAAGTTCTGCACTGCCATGTCTATTCCAAATGCACAGACAGAAATGCTTTTGTTAGAATCTTTTTGTTAGAAAGGGTTTATGAGGGTTTGTGAAAGTTTTTTTTTTTATCTAAACGTAAAGAAAACAATTCCAAATGCTTTTGTTGCACTGATTTGTGTCTGTAAATTTTAGTGACAGTATACAGTATAAAGTCAAAATATCATTCATTATTCAATATTCATTAAAGAAGGATATGGTCATACATTTTTTCCTAATCATTCATTTATTCATTCATTTTCTTTCGGCCTAGTCTCTGATTTATCAGAGGTTGCCACAATGGAACCGTCAACCTTTCCAGCATAGGTTTTATGCAGCGGATGTTCTTTTAGCCACAACCCAGTAATGGGAAACACCCATACATTCATGCAAAGAACATGCAAACAAAGAAATGCCAACTGGCCCAGCCAGGACTCGAACCAGAAACCTTCTTCAACACTGCAAACCACTGAGCCACCCACCTTCTTTCTAATTATTTACATTTTATTCTACAAAAGTTGGGATTATTTTTCTGGCTGTTTGCAGTATTTTCTGAATTATTTAGTAATAAAAAAGATATTCAAGTTTTCCTCTAAAAACCTTTGATATGTCAAAAAAATAGAAAACAAAAAGCTAGTCATTAATGTAAATTTGTAATGAGCTCAATTTCATATTTAAACAACGTTTTAAAAAACTTGTAATACAAAAAAATCTAATGTAATATATTAACTTTGAAAAAATATGGTGAACTACTATTTGTTATTATTACCATTTTGGCATGATACAAAATACATTGCAGGTTTATTTTGAACATTAGCCATTATTGGGTGTAGGGAGTGTGAATACTATAGAGCACAGGTGTCAAGCTCAGTTCCAAAAGGGCTGCAGCTCTGCACAGTTTAGTTCCAACCCTAATTAAACACACCTGATCAAACTAATTGAGTCCTTCAGGCTTGTTTGAAACCTACAGGTAAGTGTGTTGGAGCAGGGTTGGAACTAAACTGTGCAGGGCTTCGGCCCTCCAGGAATTGAGTTTGACACACCTGCTATAGAGTCAATCTAAATTTTTGCAAACAAAAAATAAAGTATAATAAAAAAAATTAAATGCAAATCTGCAAAGCAAAAATTAATCTTCGAGAAATAAACATTAATTTTGCTAACAAAAGTAAAGAACTGCAAAGGGAAAATTAAGTTTTGAGAAATAATGAAATTTGCAAACAAAAAAGAACTGAAAAATATATATATTTGCAATAAATAAAAACATTTTTTATAGCATTGCCTTAACAAACCCTTCCAGTTGACTGTAATGCTCATTTTAATTTAAAAAAGCTTTTTAGTCAACCGTGAGCGATGCTGTTTTCACTTTCCACTTCACGTTTCTCTGCGTTTCACTTTGTGGCCCTGATTTAACAAGGGGGCGGAGTCAGGGGAACTTACTCTGCTGTAAGACCACCTCGGTGATACTGTGTCTCCAGGTAATGAGGTCACTTAAATGGAGGCAGGTCCGGGTTCAAGTTCCCTTGACTCCGCCCCCTTGTCAAATCAGGGCCCCAAAGTGAAATGTGCAGAAATATGAATTGCAAACTGAAAATAGCATCGCAAACTCATGGTTGAATGTATGCAAAAAAATTAGCATTGCTTAATTGTTTTTTTGATTGTTATTTGCAGTTCTTTATTTCTGTTAGCAAAATTAGTTTTTACTTCTTAAACCTTGGAGATTTGCATTTATTATTTTTTTGCTCAATACTTTATTTTTTGTTTGCAAAACATTCTTTTAAGGGCATCATGGTGGTGCAGTGGGTAGCACGATTGCCTCACAGCATGAAGGTCACTTGTTTAAGCCTCGGCTGGGTCAGTTGGTATTTCTGTGTGGAGTTTGCATGTTCTCCCTGTGTTCGCGTGGGTTTCCTGCGGGTGCTCCAGTTTCCCCCACAATCCAAAGACATGCGGTACAAGTGAATTGAATAGGCTAAATTGGCCATAGTGTATGTTTGTGAATGTAAGAGTATATGGGTGTTTCCTATTGATGGGTTGCGGTTGGAAGGCCGTCCACTGCGTAAAACATATAATGGATAAAGTTGGCGGTTCATTCTGCTGTGACGACCCCTGATTAATAATGGGACTAAGATGAATAGAAAATGAATGAATGAATGAACTTTCTTCTACTTTGCAAGTATATAGGGCCCTAGATTGACTCCAAAGAGTTCACATCTCTTGTATGTGTGTATGTCTGTCAGTACCTGCGCAGAAAGCAGATCCATCATAAACATTGGAGGTCTCTCTGAAAGGGCTATCGGTTCCGCTGACATCATGGTGGTCTCTGCTGATCACCACTGGAGCCTGAGTGAGTACACAAGACAGAGGCACAAGATAAGATGCATAGTGCATACTAATGAGCATAATTAAATGAGTGCTGCAGCTTGTAGACTTCAGTAGCTTTACCGACACTCTGCCCTCAGCAATGGCTTGGTTAATTGCTAAGGCGATGGATACTCTTCCTCTCTGATCTGAATAGAGAATACGAGCCTGTGAACCCACAACCTAAACACAAACAACAAATAAAGCATAAACTGCAAACTGAACGGACAAAAAGTGCTACATTTTATAAAGTCTTTAATCTTAATGACATGACTGTTCAATTGAATACATCTTTAAAGTCATAGTATCCCTAAAAAGGCTGCTTTATTTTACGTGGAGCAGGTCACCTCATGGCAGGGCTTTCATACTATCATTAATAATGTAAAAATGATTTACAGATATTTATTTCAGCTTTACAGTTATTTTTGTACATTCCAGGGAGACAAAATGTGTCATATTGCCTCATAGTGATTGACATGTTGAGATAAATCGGTTAATCAATTAAATAATCCTTGCTTTATATCAGTAACAGCAAATATGTGCTGTTGTGTTATGCTACACACCACTAGGCATCACTATAAATTCAGTACAATTGTGAGCCATACCATCTTGTGTTTCCCAGCTTCGCGGATCCAGCGGATGTTGTCGCTGTATTGCTGTCGGACTCGTTCAGTAACTGTGGAGCTGATGTCTTCTAGTACAGCGGTAGCGATTGCATCTGTCTCCACCAGGTCAGCAGGGTCACCAGAGGTACAGACCCAACGAAATGGCCCAAAACCCAGTGAAAAAATGTCTCTACAGGCACGAGCAAAGAATAAAGTGAGTCTGCTAATGTGTGTATGTGTATATGTGTGTTAGTGGATAGTTGCTTACCCCATTATGTGCTGGACATATGAGGGATATTTAAACTCAGTTGCCCCTCCTCCTTTCTTCTGTACATCGGCACCTTAAAGACACAGCAGGAGCTTTTACCGATGTCTATGTGTAGTTTGATTCTGGCTAATATTGGGATTTATGGTGAAATATAATTGTATTATTGCAGTTATGTATAATTGACCTTGCCTATAATTGAACTCTTAATAATTAATTTCAAGTATATTCTTGTCATTAAATAATAAAATACAGTATTTATTGCTTGTTCTTTCATTCATTTAAAAATTATTCATGGGATACATTAAGTGTGGTAATAATCAGTTTGATGGTCTTTAACTTAGACCAGTGTTTCTCAACCACGTTCCTGGAAAAACACCAACTCTGCATATTTTTACTATTTTTCCTTAACCAAACACACCTGATTCAGATCATCAGCTCATTAGCAGAAACTGAAAGACCTGTAATGGGTGTGACAGACAAAGGAGACATCCAAAACATGCAGTGCTGGTGGTCCTCCAGGAACGTGGTTGAGAAACACTACCATCTTAGATACCCACAGAAGGGTTGCCAGGTCTGCAAAACAAATAAGCAAATCTCCCAACTTGCTGTTCCATTCTAATCACAGTGGAAACTGCATTCAGTTGGGTTCAACCAGGTTAAACTTCACATTCTGGGGATTTTCTTCAGCTAAAATCAAATTTCTTTTCCATTGGTTGAACCAGTAAACAGAAAAAAAATGTACCAACAGAGCAAAAGAAGCTTAATTCCACAAGAAAATCACATACTTCACTGCACTTCAGAGCTGTGGCAAGGCTACATAAAGGCTTGCTGAAATTCTTTTTCTATTTCTTTGTTACATATTAGATTTTAGAATAACGTTTGGACTTTGACAAATGCTGATCCTCCAAATGCGTCCTTCTATAGGAAATGCTACATGCAAGAAGTGTCAATCTGCATTATCAAAATCTCTTTAAGGCAAGTCATTTCACTCAGCGGCCATCTTTAAAACACCTCTCAAGCATTCTGTTTGAATGGGGAAACATCAAATTCTCCAAAATTGCTTGCCAAACGTAACAATTGAATTTCATGTTAGAAATCACCAATAAAATTAAACAACTTTCTTTTTAGTTTCATTTCTAAACATTGGAATCACACAAAACCTGCAGAAACTCACGTCTGGTCCAAGCCCCTGCCCAGAGAATCCTCAGTCTATAGTGATCGATGATTGGCTCCTGTACTAGAAGGCGGTGCTTTATTCGCCATATTGACCGTTACACTTTTCCGCATTCACAACTGTATGAGTGGACATGTCTTGTGTATTCTACAGTGATTGGTATTATCTATCCAACCCTTTGAGCATTTCCACTTTACTCATCATCCCGACCAATACACCCACTTACCATGCCTCAAATCTAGTTTCTATTGGTTGAGGTTTTTAAATGTTGGAAAACATTACAAAATTATCATTATCATCACCAGTGCAACACTTGAGATGTCCTACAGGTTTAAAAAAAACTGCATGTACGTTATGTAATGCACTTTATGTTGATTACAACAGATTCAAAGTTTTATTTGGGCCTGGCTAATTTTATTTGAGAACAACTGCTCTAAATAAAGGCATGTGATCTTCCACTGCTTTACTAATGTTTGGTGAAGCTAGTGGATAAACAAATCCTTCAAAGCTTTAAATCATTTGCACTGATTTATTGTGTTGAAGTCTTTACAGTTTAGTGTGATTTCACAAAGAAGGATCTGTTCCTGGAACAACATTCCAATCAGCCAATCAGATTTAAAACAAACTTACTGTTTATGTTAAGTTTAGGCTTATAATTAAAGTTATGTGCTTCTACATCATTGTTATCTAACTGTTAATCCCATCTAATTTTAGGAATAATTAGTTATGGATTACAATTTTGAACTGGAATAATGTTCCAGGATCAACATAGATGTTAATCCTGGACTGCACCTTACTTTGCAAAATCACACCCATCGCATTGGAAGCATCACTCATTAGGACACCTTCTGCTTAAATTAAATATTAGAACATGAATAAAAACTGACCCATAACCAAGGATTTGTAAAAGACTTGATGCTTCATAAAGCAGTTTTTGAAGCAGATAATGTTAATATTGTTTAATTATATGTTGTCATACTGTATATCATCCACTGTAAATTTACTTAGATTCCAGAGTAATACTGAGATCCAATCTATTTAGCCTCCCCATTGCTTCAAAATGATACATGATCACCCCCAGCAGGTACACAATGTCATACGACATTAATATTAGGTTAGATTTAGGTTGTGACTTCAGGTGATAAAAATTCAATGTTTAGTCAATGTCTAAGGACAACATTATTTTGATGTCCAACAACAACATTGATTTTAGGCTATATTGGAAAGTGACCAAAATCAACGTCAAGCCAACATCTTAAATCAACGTCATATTGACGTCAAAAACTGACATTTATTCATCATTTATTCAACCCAAATTTAACATCTTATAGACGTCACAGTGGTAACGTCCACACAACGTCAAGCTGTGACATCTTTAGACGTTGATATTTGGTTGATTTTAGGTTGGACATGATGTCAACTCGATTTTCATTTCCAAACAAAATGCAAAGTCCCCACGACGTTAGAATACAACATCAATCTGATGTCATGTTGACATCTTATATCATAACTGCAGGCTGACTTTTCACTTGCCTGCTCGCTGGGCCTCTAAGAGAAAAGCGTTGCCGTAATCCCAGAAGAACATTCCTGCATCAGACAGATTATTGATGGCTGCGACATGCCTGCGGAGACTAAACAAGGAAGGGAGTTGCAGATTGTGTCATTTGAACTTTCAGCAATCAAATCAAGCTGTTTTGAAGTGTACCTCTCATGTACTAAAGTTTTGAAGCGCTGCGGGTCAGTGTTCATGAGCTGACTGGCTTGTCTGAAAGTAAGCTGCACTGGGTAATATCCTCCACTGAACGGATTGTGAAGCGAAGTCTGATCAGAACCCAAATCAACCAGCAACTCTCCTGTCTTCTTAAACTCTTGGTACAGGCACTCCCTGAAACAAACTGCACTTATATTTCACTGTCAAAGAAAATACAGATAGAATATGATGTGCACAACCCACCAGAGATCCACAATGTTTCCATGGTAGCCTAAGCTCAACGCCGTCCCTGCTTTTTTGGCCTCCCTATAATATTACGAACGAGAAGTTGAGGTTATGTCTTCATGTCTTCATTATCTTTTCAGTACATGTTACTGTACCTGATGCGTTGGATGCAGTGGCTCAAGTCACTCGTGACCTCCATCAGCCAGCCCTGCTCATGCCTTTTCTTTAGAGGAGCTTCATCAACCTGTAGAGGCCAGATATATTTATGATTTTATTTGCACGTAAATGGGAAGAATCCAAACTCATTTTAAAGCAAATCAAGCCCCTTTGCTACATGGTTGTGTTTAACATTTGCTCTGTCTAATAAGTTCAATTCTTTCTGGCAAAGCATGGCATGTTCACATCATTTCTGTATTTTCATAATTTTCAATATTTTATTCTAGTTTTTATGGAAATTACTAGCTGAAGGGACGTGTTTTTCTCAAATACACATGAAAAATAAAATATAACGCTTCAGTTTTGTAAGAGCCATAATTTAATAGTGCTTAAATTCATGTACAGTTTACAAATGTTTATATGTTTAGTTGTGTACATTTGTTGAGTTCATCCCTACTCTTTTGTTTGTAACGGTTTGCTCTGCCCTTATTGGACTGTTTTAGATATGTTACGAAATAGGAAAGTTAAAGAAAGACAGAGGTTATTGTTATGCTATTTGAAAATTCATTAAGCATCTTTAAATGGAAAGAAACCAGTCAGTTCATTGCCTGGCTGATTTTTGAAATTCTGTAAAAGTTTAATGTAAGATAAGATTCTGATGGCATGATAACATTGAATAAAGATATCACATTTTCACAGTGTCATGGTATTGTAAGCACTGCTCTAAAATATGTTCTTTTTTTAATGTCTATTGTGTCTACCCAAACACAATATAATTTATTTTCAGAAACATTTAAAATATTTGGATCAGTAGTTTTTGCTGTGGAGATTCCTTTTCAGCTGGAGATGCTGTTGCCCTAAAAACTAAATATAATAGTTGTAAAAACATGTAAATTAAAATATATATATATATTTATCGTAGAAACGGTGTGACATAAAGTGTTGGTGGTTTTAACACCTTGACTTTTCTAAACTGTAAACCTTGAAAACAGTTTTCGACCAATGCCTAATCACAACAACAACAGCAATAATTATAGTAATAACATATTAATTTTTTTATTTTTTAACCAAAATTTGACTAGTGCCCACTTTTACTGCCAGGAAAGTTCCAAAAACATCCAGGTTCATATTTAAGTCCATTCAGATGTTTTGAAATACTGAAAACAACCATCATTATTTTGGAGTAAGAATGTTGGTTTTCGTCTCAAGTGACTTCGTTTTTATATGTTAGTCTATACAATGATAGATCAGCTGGAAACAAAACTGCTTGTTCTTGACATTCTTCAAAATAATCTTTTGTTTTCCTGTAAGCATTTTCCCAGAGAATTTTCTCAGTGGTTGATTCTGATCTATTACACAAATGAGCAATAAACCAAATACTTCAAATATTAAACAGTAAGATATTCAGGTGAGAGTGAGCATTATATTGGGCCATCATCTCTAACCTCAGCAATGACCCCGACACATCCGGCAATGACTGCAGCCTTTGCTTGTGCTCCGCTCATGCCACCCAAACCAGAAGTCACAAACACACGACCTCTCAGATCACTGGAGCCCAAGTATCTCCGACCTGCATTGAGCACCGTCAGCTACACAGGCAGAGGGCATACACCTTCATATACTTTTATTTATATTTCAGAAAGTACAGTACATTGTTAATATATGATCTTATTACCATGGTGCCATGGACGATACCCTGAGGGCCGATGTAACAGTAACTTCCAGCGGTCATTTGCCCATACCTGAGATAACACAGAGAAACGTAAACAAGAGGCTTCATGCTGAATTTACCCAGCTCTAACCTGCTAAATACGAACTATAAAGCATATAGCATAAAGTCAATGACAGTACAATCACAACCAGCATCATATTCAGTATCGATAGGGTTTAAGTATGAGTCAGTAACTCCTATTTTATCGGCACTTCACTGGTTACTCATTAAATACAGAATTGATTTTAAAATTGCATTATTTATATACAAAGCCGTCAACAATCGTGCTCCTCAGTATCTTACAGACTTGCTCTGTCCATATACGCCAATCTCAATTTACTCACCGTGCCTGCAACACACCCTAAAATCGAGGTGATCAAGCATTTGCAGTTGCTGGCCCTAAACTCTGGACCACTCCAGATTCTACCAATTCAACCAATTAGTCCTGCTTAATCACTCTTTTATTACTTTTATTTGTTAAATGTTTCCTTTGTATTCTGCTTTCTGCTCTGTCTTTAGTACTCCTTTCTACAGCACTTTGGTTGTTTTTAAATGTGCTTTATAAAAAAATATTCTACTGTATTGTATTAAGCTGATATATTTATTACAATTTTATTTTAGTCACATCTTTAGATATATAAAAAAAGATAATACATTTGAATTCAAGCAAACAACAACTTCCAACTAAATTATATATATATATATATACATTGGGAATCAGAATTATTAAACCCTGATTTATTAGCCCCCCTGTTTATTTTGTCCCCAATTTCAGTTAAACAGAGAAAAGATTTTTCCAAAACATTTCTAAACATAATAATTTTAATAACTAATTTCTCATAACTGTTTTCTTTTTTATCTTTGCCATAATGACAGTAAATAATATTTGACTGGATATTTTTCAAGACACTTCTATACAGCTTAAAGTGACATTTAAAGTCAAGTCATAGTCTACAGAACAAACCACTGTTAGCCAATCAAAAAAATATATAGCTTAAAGGAGCTAATAATTTTGACCTTAAAATGGTTTTAAAATTTTTTTAACTGCTTTTATTCTAGCTGAAATAAAACAAATAAGACTTTCTCCAGAAGAAAAAATATTATCAAACATACTGTGAAAATTTCTTTGCTCTGTTAAACATCATTTGGGAAATATTTAAAAAAGAAAAAAAAATTCTAAGGGAGTTTATAATTCTGATTTAAACTCTGTGTGTGTGTGTGTGTGTGTGTGTGTGTGTGTGTATAGTGTTTCTTGAATTTTACCTCTTTTTAAAATCTTTATTTAATATTTGTATGGAGCGTTATTTTTAAAGTTTTAATTTTAAGTTATTTAGTTAGATCAGGTCTAGATTTGGCTTAAATACTTACTGATCTAATGTACATGCACAAATATAATATTGTAAAGCATCCTATTAAAACATTCATTTAAAAGACAGATTCAGTGAGGGCTGTACTCATATGTGCACAGCACTGTATTAACTGTTTTTTCAGTTTTTTTGATAAGATAAACGCTGTTTGTTCAGCATGAGAAACTGAACCCAAACATTCTAGTATGTAAGCTATTTTAACCATTGGTGAAATTATAAATTATAATATTATAATATTTAATTATTGGTGAAATCTCACATGGTAATGCCCATAGCAAACATCTTCTCATATTCCTCTCTGGAAGAATAGTTTGGAATGACCTAAAAAAAAAAAAAGAGATGAAAAAAGAGATGCAGTTATTTCCGTTTTGGGCAAAAATACTCACAAAGGACAGACAGTATGTACAGTATCTTACCATGCCATTAGTGATAACACAGCGTGGAGAAGATGGAAGGCTGGGAAAGAGACCCAATGGATGACCACTGTACATCACAAGGGTCTGCTCTTCAGTCATGGTGCTCAGATAGTGTAAAACCAGCCAGAACTATACATACACCAAATCATACACACAGAAACACAAGACAAACTGCCCAAAGAGTTCTGAACATCATCCCTTTCACTTACTGTATGAATGTTTACATATATACTCACTGGCCACTCTATTATGTACATCCATTAAATTGCCCATTGTTGATGCAAATTCAGCATCATCCAATCACAAGACAGGAACTCAAAGCTTTTTAAGGTGTAGACCATCTCTAGGGTTTACAAAGAATGGTCCAAATGGTACCTAATAAAGTGTCCAGTATGTAAACAAACACTCACGTTGGTTTTAGTGGTTTATGAGGACTCTCCATTGATGTATTTTATACTGTAAAAACTAATATTATGTCACAGTACTTTACACCTGTGTAAATTTGAAGTTTTGACTCTTTTAAATATTACTTTTAATCAATTTGAATTATGAGGACACAGGGCATGTTCTCAAAAACCCCTCCAACATTTTAATACTCAGGTCATACCCATGTCATTATACAAATGTGTGTCCTCATAAACCACTAAAACCAGCACACACTCAATACCTGTGCCCAGTTGCTGAACACCTGTCCGTTTCCTCCATATGTGACCAGCTCTTGAGGAAACTGAAAACAGAATAAAAAAATACAATTCTGTGTGTAACCCACCAGTCCTACTGCAACCAACATGGTCTGAGCTGGGCTCGAACTGACAATTCTTTGCACGGGAGTCAGTTGCTCTAACAAGGAGGCTAAATACCATGGCCTCTAGTGCCTGTTGCTAGAGCACCTTTAGAGGTCAGAGGAGTGAGGTTTACCTGCATAGCACTTCATTAGCAGGTCTCCATTACACTCACCACCCTAAACATCACTCCCATCCCGGACGAGCCCCCATGTGTAACCCACCGGTCGTACTGCACCCAACCCAGTCTGAGCTGGGATTGAATCAGCGATTGTTTGCATGGGAGATGGTTGCTCTACCAAGGAGACTAAAGACCATGGCTTCTAGTGTCTGTCGCTAGAGCACCTTCAGAGGAGTGAGGTTTACTTGCATAGCACTTCACTAGCTGGCCTCCGTTACATGTACATAACTATAAAGTATATCATCTTCAGTCCATCTAAAGTAGGTGATCCACTTGCTGATATTGCATTGAGCTGGCAGCTATTACATCAAAACATGAAATTAAATGTGATAATGTACCTGTGCGACAGCAGGATCCAGATTGTTCATAATCATAAGCATGATGGAAGCTGCATGTCTGGTTTTGCATGGGTACTGACCAATAGGATATGCTCTGTAACAAAGACACAGTCATTGATGCAGCATGAAACCCCCATAGCTGAGATTTAGTAATACAGTTGTAGTATTGTATGCTTGTTTGTGTTGTACCTCATGCGCAGTGCAGGACAAAAGCGGTACATGTAAATGTGTCCATACTGTCTGAGCTCCTGCGCAAACTCTACAGCCAGAGTCGCATGCAGACTGGGAGGAAAGTATCTCAAAGCATTCCTCAAAGCCACCTAGACAGAGTTCAAAAGAGATTACCCTTATGATGCAATCGGTTTACAAAATGTTTCCTTTCCTTTCTCTCTTTAAAATGTAAACGCTTATCTTCTCTAATGATTGACAGGGCTCACAGTGTAGAAAGATTTGAGATTTGTTTTTTGTACGTTGTTAACCATTGCTGATTTTTGAGTTGACCTTAAGCATTAAAACATCATTCATTATAAACATTTGTTTGTTTCTTTTAAAATGTAATTTAGTCCTGAGGTGCATAGCTGAACTTTCATCAGAAATATGACTTGATGATCAAGAAACATTTATAATTATTAGTGTTAAATAATTTTTGTTTGTAATTTTACTGTCATTTTTCATACATTTTCATTCTTGCTGTTTTTGTTCTTGCTAAAAACTGTTGCTACCTTAATTTTTTTTCTTTAAATAAAACTAACAATAAAAAATGTATATTCTTGACAAGTTAAACATGATTAACTTGTCACATGAGATTCTGGTCATGTTTAAAAGGTCAAATCTAATTCTGAAAGTTATAAACTCCAAATTGAAATCGTTTCCCACACAAAGATAATGTATGACTTCTAAAAAGTTTTATTAATTTTTTACAATTAATAATAAAAAATAACCAATCATATGTATGAAAATATGTATATGTTGACCCACCCGTTCTTCGGCTGGAGTGAGGTTTGGAGTACGGACAGGTGCATGAGGAACACTGGGATCTCGGCCTCGGTTTGGGGGAAGAGGATCAAGGGGCAACCCGGCACAAATCTCCTTTAGGCTGGACATCACTCCTGTATTTAGCAATATAAACAACTCAAAATAGCAGATATATATATGAAAACAATGTATCTTTGTGAGCTGAATATTATACTTACACATTCTCTTTGGACTATTCTGTTTTCTTATGAAGAGGCTGATGTGGACCCTGCTCTGGTGACCCCCTAACCTCCTCCCCGCCACTCCATTGGACAGTTTACTTGGTTTTTCCCTCTAGTCTCATCCAATCAGAAATGACAGATGTCTCTGTCAGGTAATGATTGAACAATCCAGACGTGCTGTGGCTCTCTCCCAAAAGCATAAACACAAATCTCGACAGCATTCCCTTTAAACTGCATAAATCATTTTACAGACCTTAATGAATTGAAAGCTATTAGTTCATCCAGTCAGATCACCAGAATGTTCTTGACACTAAGTTTCTATTCACTGAACTAAATGGTGGGTAGTTTTGATTAGTACAGTGACAAATGTGGATGTATGTATAACTGTCTTTTGTTAAAAACATTACAGCTTCTGAAAAATTTGAATGTAAGATATAGCTGCAAGCAGCAATAATGGGGCCAAGCAGTCCAGAGGCAGAATAAGCAAAGCAGAACAGAGGCCATGAGCAGAAAGCTCTACAGAGAGCATCAGATGATGCAAGTGAAACAACGAGTTCTGTATAAAGCTTTTCTGAATAAAGTTTATTTTTTACTATTTAATTTTTATTGGTTTTTATTGGTTTAATAGGTAATGCTATTACTAAATGTATGTAATGTAGTATGAGGCAACAATGACATGATCGATTTGGTGTCAATATGTATAAGCATTGCAGATTTCCAGACTCAGATGCAGTTTGGCATTGTACCGCCATATATATTTGTCAGTGCAGTAAACAAACTCTCATGTATGGACACAAATTCCATGAAAGATGATCTGCGTCAAATTTATTGAAAACTGTACCAAGGATCTTGGAGGAATTTGAAAAAGAGTGTTTTAGAACAAACAAAAATATGACGAACAGTAAATTTGGCAAATTTTGGCATAATTGGTGTCTGTGTTGTAGGCATGAAGGTAAAGTAAACATATACATTCACAAGTTATCAAATTTGGAACTTTTAATATAAATGGTTCATGAATGGCTTATCACTCTTGATCCCTTGGTGGCGCTGTCACCAAATGTTTTTGGTGTAGTAAGTGTGTAAGGTGACAATGAAACAGCTAAAATTATGTCAATATCTTTAAGAATTGCAGAGATACAGCCTCAGATGTAGTTTTACATTACACCTAGCGATGTGAATTTTGTAACTTTTTGTCATCATGGACAAATTTGGTGAAAATCAGACCAATGGTCTAGTAGGAAATACAAAAAAAAAAGTTTTTACAGTAAACTGGCAGACAGGAAATTTGGTTGCCTATGGAAAATTTGAAAATATTTGCGGAATTATCCCAAAAAAACCTATCAAGACCAGGCTCTAGACAATGGTCAATGTAGCAGAAAGCATTTTTCTAAATTTTATTATAACCTTTAGCCACAAGGCTCTGCTCTGAAATGTTTAACAAATATATTATATTTTAATTCTTAAAAGGCTTTTAATATTTTTAAATAAGACAATTATTGAATTGACAATGTGAAAATATACATTTATATAAACATTATAATGTCAAAATTAAAATATATTGATTATTGGTATTGGAATTGGGCATGAAAAGGACTTAATTATCGGTTAAAATTTTCATATAATTTCCATAATTTGAACCCACTGTTAATGCAAGATGATACATTACCTTTTCTTATATTATTTCAGATCATTTGACTACAAAAGCACACAATTATATACAAGTATTACATGATTAAAATGACCAATCAAATCATCTGTCTATAACCTTTAATCTTAATATGATTCACATTTCACACACAAACACTTGTTTTGCTGTTTGACCTAAAACACACACATTGTACGTCTCAATAGTTACACCTGAATTATGAGTAAGAATAAATTACCAGAGAAAGTAAATGTAATTCAATGAAAATTAAAATGTGCTTGTGAAAATACTTTAACAAAGAGACCAAATCTCACTAGGGCGTTCCCCCTCTAATATATTTTTACTATTAGAATCTGGCTATATTCGCAGACTGTTGCCACACACATATATTTAAACCGATTTAAACCCTTAATAAAAGTGATTTTTGCATAATAGGTCCTCTTTAAGAATTATTTTTATTGGCTACAAAACAAAGCAATCTTGTACAATGACTTGCCGAGTTAACCCAACTAATAAGCAGCAGTATTGCTTTCTGAGGCAATAGTCATAGTTTGTCAGTATGGAGGATTGAACGTCAAAATAAAATGACCAGCTTTATAAAATTTGTTACAATTTTTCCCCACAGTTTCTTTAAACCTTTAATTATTACATTTTTTTGAAACTCACCATTTTTTAAACAAGCTCACCATATAATCTACCTATATTTACGCTGTCCTTGTCTACATCAATAGATAATAGTAAATAAATGCTTAAATGACAGATGTTTTAACTGACTACAGGCAGCTGTGTGGGAATCTCATCTGTCTCAGTGGGCAAAGAGTCCGATTCTTTGTTTGTTGTGAAGTCAGAGATGGATGAGGAGTGTTCTTGGTCCGGATCTGCAGTCTGTAGATCATTGTTGTCCTGAGGGAAGAGTTCAGGATGTTGATGGAAACACTCCTGCATGGATATGAACTGCTCCAGACAATCAGAGCCCTTCACCTCTTCTTGACTAAAGTGAAAGCAGGTAAACGCAGATTTAAACTGCTCTCCACACACTCCACTCGCCATCCCACCCAAACACGGACAGTCCCAGTTTATTTCACCAGTTGGGAGGATGAGGCCTGAATGAAGAGAATGTGAAGTGGACAACAAATCCGAAATGATTATCAAGAATGAAGCATTGCTTTTTGGTGATCTTATAAAATATGCAGGTTAAGGAGCATTATCCTCTGATTATTCTCTCACCTTTTCCTTTAGGATCCCCATTTGTATCTTCCTCTTCCTGTTTCACAGTGCTGGGAGTTTCATGCTCTTCCTTAGTAATAAATATGACTTGGTCTTTCCCTTTAATGAGGTAATGGTGACATTTACAATTTGTCAAGTAAATTTAACAACTTAAAAAGAGAGTTTCACTCTTATTTCCTATCACTGGAATTAACAGTTTTAAAAAGGGGGTATATTCCTAAAGGTTTATGTTCAGACGCACACACATTCCTGTCACTAAGATTTGCAGGTGGATCCCACTTTATATCAGCTATTTTATTCACCATGTACTTAAATAAAAATAAAATAAAAATTTGCCATTATTAAAGGGATAGTTCACCCAGAAATTTAAAGTCTTACTTATTCTGTTGAACACAAAAGAAGATATTTTATTAAAGAAATAACTATTACTGTGGAGGCATTGCTTACAGGTTTTCAACGTTATTCAAAATGTGTATTAAACTGAACAACAACAACAAAAACTACATTTATTAATTTTGAGGGTTGGTTATTTTTATTAAATATAAGTACAATGATGGTGACTCAGTGGTAAGCACTGTCACCTCAGCTAGAAAGTTGCTGGTGTGAATCCCTGCTGGGCCAGTTGGTATTTTTGTGTGGAGTTTGCCTGTTCTCCCTGTGTTGGCTTGGGTGCCCTTCGGGTGCTCTGGTTTCCATCACAGTCCAAAGACATGCACTATAGGTGAATTAAATAGGCATGGGACAACAACTGTGTTCAAGGTATATCACCGTTTGGAAAAGTCAAGGTTTTAAAACAGTCAAATTTGTCTGCTTTACCGTTCCTAAGGTATGAGTAAGATTTTGTTTTATTTACATTTTTTTGTTTGTTTTTAGGACAGCAGTATCTCCGGCAGAAAAGATATCCAAAGATGCCCCGTTTTGAAACAAGTGGACAGCAGGAGTCTGTGATTTAGCCTGCCATTATTACTGTTCCAAAATATTTTAAATGTTTCCCAAATTAAAATATTTTGTGTTCAAAGGGGGAAAAGGTTTTGTTTTTTATTCAGACATTTAAAAAGAAGATATTTTAGAACAGTAATCACAACACGGTCAAACCGTGATATTTAAATCCAAGGTTATCATACCATCAGAATCTTACACCAGCCAATGCCTAGAATTGAATAAACAAAATTGTGTGTTTCCCTGTACTGGAATGGCATTCGCTGTGTAAAACATTTGCTGTATAAATTAGCTGTTCATTCCACTGTAGCAAAACCCCTTGTGACTAAACGGTCCAAGCCGAAGAAAAATGAATGTATGAATAAATGAATGAATGAATGAATGAGTACAATGCATAAACTTGTACAAGATTCAGATGACTAAAATAAACGTCAATGTTTATTTATCAAGACATATTATTCGGTTTATTAGTTCGTCTTTTTATTTTTCCTACCATTTCTTGATTTTTGTTAAATATCTATAAAAATGCATTTCAATTTATTTCAACTTGCATGGAAGAAAAGAGAATTTAATTTATGCAAACTAGTTTGTGAGGGTTACCCCCGTATGGCGTCAGTGAGACCAAACAAGGTCATCGCTGTAACTCGTTTTATAACCAAGTTATATTTCACAGACCTCACGGAAATTCTGCGAGTAAACAGTCAATAAGAATCTGAACTTTTATTCAGAGCTTAAATACACTATTAATATATTCTGAATTAACATTACCTTGCCCGTCGATAGCTGTCATTTCTTTTTACAATTATTGCAATGGAAATTTATCAACGGCAAATAAAATTCACCTTCTTCGCGGATTTATTTTTCTCAATAAAAGTGCTTAGTTGACCACCAAAGATCCACCGTCTTGTCCTTCTGTCATTTATTCGGTAGTAGACGCCGCTTTCAGACCACAGACCCACGTTACAAAATCAAACATTACGACGTCATAAAGAGTAGACGAGGACCCTGCGTGTTTGTTTATATCTCATATCGCCTGCGAGAAAAGAACAACCCTTTAGAAACGGATTTTACTGTAATTGTTTACGGAAATCACGCTCGGCTACTTAACAGCTTCTTTCCACAGGCTGTTAGAGCCCTCAACTCCAGTCAAATTACCATGCATTCCTGAGTGAGAGGAACAAACCACGTGTAGAAAAAGACACGCTCTCATCTCTGACTCTTGCACCAGGTTGCACTATAGACATTTTGTTAATCACCCCTTGTCTCTTGAAAATTTTGTGCATTTCAAACAATGCTTCATTCTGGTGAGTGGGCTCGACAAACCACCTGTAGAAACACTCTTCTCTCTTATGCACCTGACACCCATCTTACAAAACTCAATGAGGAAAAATGTGCCACAATCATGTTGCACTGCGTGCCTCAACCTTAAATAACTTTTGCACTATATTAAACTTTAAATAACTATTTTGTGCGTGTCACGGTGGTGCAGAGGGTAGTATGACCGCCTCACAGCATGGTTGCTGGTTCAATCCTCGGCTGTCATTTGGAGTTTGGATGTTGTCTCTATGTTCGCGTGGGTTTCCTCTCCTCCGGTTTCCCCCACAGTCCAAAGACGTGCTTCATGTGAATTGGGTATCTGCTTTGAGTGTGTATGAATGTTTCCCAGTGATGGGTTGCAGCTGGAAGGGCATCTGCTGCATAAAACATATACTGGATAAGTTGGCGGTTCATTCCGCTGTGGCAACCCCAGATAAATAAAAGGATTAAGCTGAAAAGAATATGAATGAATAACTATTTTGCACAATATTCACCTATACCTCTCTTGCACAATATCCTATACATTGTCTCATGTAAAAGTACTTGAATAGTCTATCTTTTGTGTATAGTTCAGTATCATATAGTATATGTTGGTTATGCAAAGTTTTTTTTTTAAATCAGCTGTTATCTTCAGTGTTCTGTTTGTGTGTTTATGAGTAATTTATGTAGCTCTGTGGTCCTGCGAGACACCACATTTCGTTCGTCTGTCCACACATGCAGCATGAAATCACGAATCATACCAGAACGAGATGTTTACGCTACATTGTTACAGCCATGGACAATAAACACAGAAGATAATGTGTACTTAAATATGGTAGTACGGTTTTGGTTAAAATTGGCTATATGCACACACTGACTTCATTTTCAGTCAGGCAGCCCAAGCCAAGGGCTTCTGGTGAACTGTCCTTTCATTACAAAATTGTCACTTTTAAGATCTGATTTCTTTAAGTCAGCGATCTTCTCTGCCTGTTAGATAAGTGATAAGAAGTGGGTCTCAGATTGGAGAAGACGCACCGCGTTAAATTACATTTCCCCCCGCCATGTCTTTTAAATTAGTTAATTTTACCCCAATATTTTCAATGGAATTTTTGCATTAGCCTGGTTACAAGTCTTTCATTTTGTTTTAATCTTAAACAACTAAATGAATAAAAAAAGTCAATTTAACTGAATGTATTATAATTACATTGCAACACTGATGCTGTATAAGGAACCTTGTGACATTAAAAAGTCACATTAAGCTTTCACCAGAAGTTTATCATTGGCTTTAAAACTCTAGCCGTGCATATAGCCCATTAGGCCAATTTTACACCTTTTATAGCTCTTTTACAATGTCTGAGAACTTATCCTTTTAAATACACTAAGCTGTTTTATGGTATGCATATTGCAGATAGATCTACTCAGAAAAATGAAACAATTCAGCATCTCCCAAAAAATGAGTTTTTATTGAGAATGATCAGTCTTTGCTGAATATATTTGTTCGGAACATTTCTTTTTACAGTCCAAAATAAAAAGAAAGAAAAAGAAGGGCTTATTTTACATGGTCGCGCACAGCATTAAATGTCATATATACAGACACCCAATGATACAGTAAAAAGGGCTTAATTTGGGAAAGTGACCACTTCCATCTGTCACTGAAGCTCTCACTAAAGACCAGGTACTTTCAAATACAGAAAATCCTTGCTCTCTATTGTGTAAGATGTGTTGTGTACAAAAAAAAAAAAAAAAAAAAAAAGATCCCAGCGTTATGAAATACATGTCCAACAAACACAGAAAAACCACACACACACACACCATTGGTGCCAAACTGTGCGTTGCTTTACTCCTATGCTGCCTTGTTTAGAATTGACAATTGCTGACTGGAAAACAAGAACCTGTGGTTTAGCTCTTATATTTGTAGCCATAACTAAATCACACTTTTTATGACTTAGCATGATTCAATGAGTTAGAAAAGCAAACTGCCTGCCAGCTTTACATACAAGACCGATATGACTGACAAACACGAAGCAGTTGTCAAAATTGGCAGTGTCGAGTAAATCAGTCACCCAACATAAGCAATACTCTCTGGAAAATCTTTATCAACTAGGACCAGGCAGGAACTAAAGAAAAGAGTGGATGAATGGATTCGGTGATGGCTGGAGACAGATGAAGGACAGACTGATGTGAAGAGAAAATTTAATTCATCTAAATATTCCTAGTCAGAGCTCACAGAGTCCATCTTTACTGTTCCATTACTGAAGTTCAGCTTCATCACTGAATTTTAGAAACGTTTTGCCACTTCTGACATACAGGAGAACTTACTCGGCCTGAGCTAGCGGCTAAGAGCACGTTCTCCCAAGACAGCGCTCGTGACAGACCACTAATTATGCTCAAATTGCACCGAAATAAAAGAATTAAATGACAACAACAATCATAAAAATAATAAAAAGGTGTCAGCAAGTATGTGTGTGTTTGTGAGTGTCCTTGTTTAGAAGAGTAACGCTCCCATGCTGCCGACTTCACTCTGTTCCTTAACAAATATCTCAAAGTACTGATAGATGATGGTAACAGCCAATAGGATTCCCGTTCCGGAGCCGATGGCGCCCAGGAAGTCCGCCATTACTGAAAGGCCTCCGATACACAGTCCACCAAATGCAGCCGCTGTGGGGATGTATCTGGATGACAAAGAAAATTTGAGGTTAATAAAAGTTCAGATAAGAAAGCATTTAAAAGCAGAGCATCCAGTGTTTTTGCCGCTCACCTGTTGAGTTCATGAACCATGGAGGTCTCTCTGTGTCCCCTCATCACCATCTGCTGTTCTTTCAGCTGCTTAGCTACCTAAAACACACACACACACAACACATTCAGCCATTACATTTTATAGAATCAAAATGTATGTGCCGATAAATGAACAATAACAGGTGACTCACATCTTTGGCAGAAGATCCAGAAACTTCAATCCAGGTCTTTGAAAAGAAGGCACAGGATCCCAGCATGAACACAATGTAGATCACTGCATGAACTGGGTCATCAAGCACAGAACCAAACGACTCCGGAGGAGACAGATAGTAACAGAGACCGCCCACAGGATAGGCGCGCGCTGGACCTCCAGATGAGGTGTCCTAGGAAAAACAAAATGAAGGTTTCTTTACTTCATCTAATTATGTTTGCTTTCTGGATCAAGCCGTTTTTCAATATGCATTTTTTTCTTCAATTGAATTTTCAAGTATAAGGCCCTGACATTTCTGCACACACACAAATGAAAGCATAAAATTCCGTCATAAAAATATAGTTTACTGTATAACATGAATTATCATAAAACTTAGTAAAGTTTGAACAATACTATAATATACCACATAATACTACAATATTATTAATAATTACAAACAACATTTAAGAAATGGTGTAATTAAGCAATAATAACACAATTGTTTGTCAGTGTTTTAATTGAACATGAACAAAACGCATTGTGGTACATGTCAAACTTATTTATTAGCATTCCTAAAAATGTACTTTAAGTATTAGTTCATCTTAAAATGAAAACTCTGTTAATTACTCATCCTCATATCATTCCAGTGCCCTGAAACCTTTGTTCATCTTCATACAAATTGAGAGATTTTAGATTAAATCCGAGAGTTCTCGAATCCTCCAAAGACAGCAAGACATCCGCCATTCTAGATTTTGGTGATCTTGGGATCGTTGCTGTTTATAGATGAGAACTCTGACTTATTCTAGAGTGTCTTTATTCCAAAGATGAACAAAGCTCTCGAGCAATGTGCGAATTATACATTAACAATCAAGGTCAAGTTTTTTCAGTAGTAGTTTAGTAATACATGCTTCAGTGATTTAAATTTAAGAATGTATTGAAATTACATCTAACTTATTAATAAAATGTATACGTTTTGAGGAATATTTAGTGACTATTTTAGAAGTTGCTGTAGGTCAAACTATATAAATGTGTCCGTTTCATTTTTTTTAGGCTGCATGCGGATATAAAAACCAATTTTACAAGTAATGGGTTTTGTGAATACTTAAGATGTCTATCGGTGCTCTAGAACTGCCAATTTCAGTTTTTTTGAACAACAAATTTTATTTTAAACATTTTCATACAAATTGACGAAGATCTAATATTTCAGTTTAGCAAAAAACAAGTCATTAAAAGAAAATACAAAAGCAAAATGCAGCAAAAATAATATAGACTTTAAATAACTTCATACCAGTTTCAGACTTTTAAATGATGTTTCTTAGAATGGATTGGCACGATTTTGCATTCACAATGGTATAAACCGTCATGGGGCGTCAAGTGTATATTTATATCATACATATTTAATTATTAATATTTAAGATATAGATCAAAGAAAGCTATCTTACTAGTTAAGGTTTGAAAATGTTGTTAAATCCTTTAGTTTAGAAAAATGGGGAAAAGAAATAAGTGCTGAAAATTATCGAAATAAATTTGGTACTAGTTTTAAACAGATGTCACACTTACAGACCAAGTCCCCAGAAGGTTGACTAGGAAGTTGCCGCTGAATCGAGTGGAGAGCATCTGAGAGATGACGTAAAGATTGGAAACCAGAGCAGACTGCAGGATGATGGGAATGTTGGAGGTATAGAACAGCTTGATGGGATATGTGTTGTATTGGCCACGGTAACGTGCAGACTTGATGGGCAGATCAACTCTGAAGCCCTGAAAATAAAAAACATGTAAATAGAGTTTCAATTACAATTGTCAAGTACTTATAATATGTGCTTATATTCAATATTTCCAACCAATACACAAAACAAGTAATGACAAGAAAAAATAAAATAATAATAATCAATGAAGTACCCAAATTAATTTTTAAAATTGGTTTCTGAGGGTGTGCAGCTATATATAAGTGCAAAATTTCATGTAACTGACCTGGAAGTATATGACCACAGCAAAGACGAAGACTGTAGCGATGAGGTTCATGAGGTTAGGCAGGTTCTGTCTGTAGAAAGCCTCTCTCAGAGCTCTGACTTTATCAGTGCGAGTGGCCAAAAGGTGGAACAGAGCAATAATGGCTCCCTCAAACTCAGTACCTGAACGCACACAAACAAAATTTAGCCAACTCGTCACTCATGACACTACAGCATTGCTCAAAATGATATGCTGTGTCCTGAACACACCTCTGCCTGTGTTGACTGTGGTTGGGCTGAATGCTTTCCATACGATAGTCTCACAGATGTTAGTGGCAATGAAGAGAGAGATACCAGAGCCCAAACCATAACCTTTCTGCAGCAACTCATCCAGCAGCAACACGATCAGACCAGCCACAAACAACTACAGGAAAAAAAAAATAAATAAATTTAAATCACACCCCTTGCACTCTTTAATAAAAAACAAAACATGCATATAACAATATACAAATCCCTGAGCTTAAAGCCACATTATACAGGTAATAAATACACACATTGTGTCCATGCTCTCTCACCTGAATGATGATCAGCAGACAGATGCCAGCACCCATCTCTGAAGGGTCTCCATACATTCCAGTCATGACGTACACAATAGCCTGGCCAATGGTGATGATCATACCAAACACTGGAAAACAATTAAGCAATTACCATCACTGTTGCATTATAATAACTAATCTATAACTCAGCAATATTAAAGGGATAGTTCACTCGAGTTAAAAATTATCACCCTCAAATGGTTTCATACCTTTATGAGTTTTGTTTCAGCTAAACACACAAAAAAATTAAAAGAATGTTGAAAATCTGACTTGCATAGTAGGAAAAACTGAAATTCAATGGAAGTCAATAGTTACCAGTTTTCAACATGTTTTTAAGTAACTTATTTTGTGTTCAACAGAAGAATGAAACTCAAATACATTTGTGACAAGTTAATGGTAAGTATATGATAACAGAATTTTCAGTTTTGGGTGAACTATTCCTTAATACAGGCATGCAAAAGAGTAACTTGAAACCCCTACATTTTTGGGCTCCATTAAAGAGCGCTCTGTCTTTCGGTGTGTCTCCGACCTCAATGATTTTAGCTCCAGCCAGCAGCTGCATGATCAGACCAGAGGTCACAATGGGAGAGATACCCAACTCCATCAAAGTACCTGAAAAACAGTCATTATACATTTTGCAATCCACGATACCTGATACTATCACAATGCCACACAAACATTAATTCAGTTCACAAATACTATTGAGTGTAAATGCTTAAACACTAGTAAAAAACTTTTAACGGTTAAGATTTTGGAAAAAAGTAAAACTTAAAAAAAAAAAAAAAACTTTTCTAAATTGATATGCATTTTGTCAGTTTTAATTAAACGCACATCGCTGAATAAGAGTAAATGTTTCTTTGAAAAAAATTATCTCACAATCATATAAAGTTTTGAGGTGATGATCATTACGTGCTTGATTAAACTAATGTTAATCAATAAAAACATAGATTGAGGTAAAGTTGGTTTTATATTGAAACATTCGTTCATCTTATGGTGTCTATATTGTTTACTGCGGGACCTTAAATGTTGAATTTGAAATCGATTTAAGTATGACTTCAAAACAACATGAGCACTATTTATTTTAATTGACTGAACACTGCTGTTCTTTGATAGTCACTGACTGCTAATATAACTTATGTTATTAAGGAGAATGTGGGAATATAAAGCATACTTTACCTCAATAAAACATAGCACCTCATTAATTGTGAGTTACACTGAGTGAGTACAGTGTCTTACCTCTGTTGGAAGCCAAAATGACTCTCATCCAGTAGAATGGATCTGCTGAATCTGAAGACATGATCCCAAACAGTGGGATCTAAGACCAAGAGAAACAGTACAGTCATCAGCTCTCAACTAAAATCTTGACTTTACACTGAAGTAGCTGGAGAACAAAGGCATAGGTGTAGTGTATTTATTCATACTCTGAAAAACACAACTTACCTGACAGCAAACAAGAAAGATGAACAATGTGATGGCAGTCCATAGCACCTTTTCTCTGAACTGGATCTGAAACAAAAAAGTGTTTAAAGTTAGAAATGCTGTTTATTACATAAAGTTATAATAATAAATAAAAATCGATACACGCTGTGTGCAATGTTTTACCTTTCGTTCTGGTTTCTGGATTTCAGGCAAAACCGCACAAAACGGTTTTATTACCTCCAAGAACTTAACTGGAAATGACAAAAACATGAGAAATCTCACAAATTATTTGATGACAGAAAATTAAACTACTTACAATTTCACTAAATGCAACATAACATATGTTGAACCATATTACTGCAATTCACCAACATGAGGTGAAAATGTATACAGAGATCACTCAACAACTGATAAACAGTCTCACTTTCCCAAAATCCTTGTCGAACTACTAAGGACAACAACAGTCCAATCTAAAGCGTCGTCATCATTAAACTGATGAATAAAAAAGTCATTTTCCCAACATTTCTTACAATACAAAATCTTATAATACATCAGACCTAACAACTTATCAATTTCTCTGTTTTTGTTTAGTATGTTTTCATGTTAAACACACAAGTTAACGTTAAGTGCAATCAATTAACCTGAAACCTATAACGTTAGCCTCTGGAATCTTTGACAACTTCCCTCCGGTCTTGCAGTCCGATATAACAACAAATAAGGCTATTTCACAGTATTGTGCCTTATTTCAAATAACTGAAGGCCTCGTTGACGGTTTGCAGAATAAAAAAAGATCAAGCAGACGTGTTAAAAAGTAGCTTACAAGCTAATGCTAGCTGCTCGAAGCCATTCAACCATTAGCCACCAGAAAAGCAACGTAAACGTACCCCCACACACGAATAACAACTGATGAATCAAACAAATAAACCACAGAAACATTTAAACGCATTCCAGTTGACTGCTCTACAAATGTGAATAGTATAGAATCTGAAACCCTTCTCTCAGGTTTAGTCAAAGAAAGCTCTCTGGCTAGCATGCTAACAGTGCTAACAGAACTCGAGTGTGAATTGACAGCAGATTTACATTGAACAACTCTACCAAACACAGGATAAACGCTCGAAAACTCTGCACTCACTCGCCATGATGACGGTCCCCTGAAATCACGGTCTCTGTCTGGAGTCCCAGTGAGTTGTAAACGGATAATTAGCGCTACCGGTGCGCTCCGCCGCCCGGGTGAGAGAGAAAGAGAGAAGCGAGAGGAGCGAAGGGAGGAAAGCGCTTTAGAGACACGTCAACACTACACCGACTCTACTACACGTCAGATGAACGGCGAGTCGCGGTTGATCTTCTGGTTCACGCTCTTCAATTCGATAAAGTGATCGGCACAAGTAATTTTACACATATTTTTCAAAAAGTAAAAAAAGAACATATATACAATATCTTAAATGGTCACATAGATTTTTTTCAACGGTTAAATACTTAGAAGGAGACAATAATATAAGAATATCAGTTTTTATTAATTTTTGCAATCGTAACAAAACAGAAACAATGATTTACTAATTTAACAAATTGTTGATCGTTTTCCAAATAAACAAATTGTTCCCGCCAAAAAATCTTATTTAACTGCTAAATTCTCTTGTTAAATAGTAAACCATGTCTACATGTTTAACTTATTTTATTTAGCTTTTTGTTAAACGGTCCATAATTTTAAGTAAACTGTGCGTATAGACAACAACACATTGCAGGAAAAGCAGGTTTTCGTGAATCCTTTACATCGATTTAACAGTTATACGTTTCATAAAAAATAAAGGAAGTGTGTACGCTAAACAAAAAAATAAAGAAAGAAATCACCACGTACGTCCGGTTAAAAAGACTTGCGCTTCAGGGCAAATCGATGGCTATTTGTCACGTTTTAATTATTTGTCTTGTTACTATATACTTTAGTTTCCTCTTCAATAATTATGTAATCAAATTCTACTCTTAAACTATTGATTGTAATGAAGCTGTGAGAGTATGCAATAATGTCATCAAGACTTGTTTTCACATACATCATGTACGATTTTGCTATGTTTGTTTTATATGGTACAAATGTAAGTAGGACAAAACCTGCAAAAACAATAAACAAATATGCAAATTAATAATTGATCCACAAAATCCTGCATAAAATAGTTGGGTTAAAATTACCCCAACATATAACCCAACTCTAGGTTATTATAGCACCTTCCCAACTATGGGTTATTTTAACCCAGTGCATTGGGTTATTTTGATTAAATGTTTTTTTTCCCACTCTGGTATTACTATTGCTATTATTACTAATAATACTATTAATTTTATAATTATGGCTGGGTTAATGAATAACAGTTTACTAAAATATTGAAAATGCATTATTTGTATTACATTTTAGTTCCAGACACTTTTGTTAAAATAAATCAAGAATTACAAACATTGAAGAAACAGAACAAAAGTGCAGACAGATATAAACTGAGCGAGCAGAAAATGCTGTTGATGGAGCAGAATATGGAGCTAGAGGCTGCCCAGCAGTTGCAGCAGGCTTTGTCCACAATGTACAATAGCCTACATTTTAATCATATCCAAAGCTTCTAAAAGATGGTCTTGGATGGTAAAATGGGTATAAAAACCACGAGACGGAGGTAATTTGTTAAAAATTAACAACAAAATTATTTATTTTTTATTATATATTATGTATTATGTTATTGTGTTAACTCAACCATTGGGTTAAATAAATAACTCAACGTTTTCTAAAGTTTATATAAATAGTGCGGACAGATTAATAATTAAATAAATTACACGGATGTAGGGGGAATACGACAATGTAAAACTGAACTAAAGACTATGGAATACAAAAGGACTATGACTGAACGTAGATTTTTCCGTCTTTCACACCGCACTATTAATAAAGGCAGTGGCGCAGTAGGTAGTGCTGTCGCCTCACGGCAAGAAGGTCGCTAGGTTACTGGTTTGAACCTCGGCTCAGTTGGTGTTTCTGTGTGGAGTTTGCATGTTCTCCCTGCCTTCGCGTGGGTTTCCTCTGGGTGCTCCGGTTTCCCCCACAGTCCAAAGACATGCAGTACAGGTGAATTGGGTAGGCTAAATTGTCCGTTGTGTGTGTGGATGTTTCCCAGAGATGGGTTGCGGCTGGAAGGGCATCCGCTGCGTAAAAACTTGCTGGATAAATTGGCAGTTCATTCCGCTGTGGCGACCCCGGATTAATAAAGGGACTAAGCCAACAAGTGAATGAATGAATCTATTTGCGTATTCATTTATTTATTTGTTTTTTTATTTATGCAAGAATTTGTGTATTTATTTGTTTTTTTATTTACGTATTTATTTATTGTTTTTGCAGGTTTCTATGAAGGATGAAACCTGTATAGCAATAAAAAAATAAATACGTAAATTTATAAATAATTGAGTAAATAAATCCATAAATTCCTGCATAAATAAAATAATAAATAAATAAATAAATAAATTAATTAATTAATAATAAATAAATAAGTAAATGTATATTAAAATTCACAAATTCCTGCATGAATAAATATAGAAATAATGAATAGTGCGTGCAGGTAAATAATTAAATGAATTTTGGGGTAATAAGTAAGTGCTAAACTGAAAGTTGATTTATTTACTCGCACTATTAATTAATAATAATTAAATAATTTGTATTAATGTAAGGAGTTGTGGATTTTTATATATATTTATTTGTTTAATTGCGTATTTATTTATTCATTGTTTCATTTATGCAGGAATTTGTGGATTTATTTATTTACTTATTTATTTGGATATTTATTGGGTTATTTATTTATTCATTGTTTAATGCAGGAATTTGTTGACTAATTAATTAATTTATTTACTGAATATTTATTTGGGCATTTACTGGGGTACTTATTTATTTAGTCATTGTTTTATTAATGCAAAAATTTGTGGATTTATTTATTAGGGTATTTATTGGAGTATTTATTTATTGTTTTATGCAAGAATGGGTGAATTTATTTACTTATTATTTATTTGGGTATTTATTTATTTATTTATTATTTTTTATTCAGGAATTTATTTATTTGTTTATTTGTGTATTTATTTATTTATTGTTTTTGTAGGTTTCGGCCTCCATAGTTTTCATAAGCAAATAAAAAATCAGCCATCTATCGTATTTTTAATGATGATAGTAATTCAATAAATTAAGTGAAATTTCATTCATTTACATGAGCAGCTTTCAATTTTGACCAGTTGATGTCGTGAAACCATTGGATAAAATCGAAATTGATTCCCTTTTTTCTAATGCAGCTTGCCTTTTCAGCCAACAGAGGGCTCTGTGTACTCAGCAAAATAGATTCTTGTTCATTTTCTCATTCATTTGCACGCACAGCATGATATTGCAAGAGTGATGCATTATTTGGTCATATTTTCACTTAGAAACAATTTTAATGGCAGTTTTTTCTATCTGATGGAATTGCTGAATATCTGTAAACCAAAATACTTGATCAAGTTTTCATCTATTAAATTAAAATAACATCAAATCATTTAGACGATCTTATATTACACATATATTGTCATAAAAGCAGTAGTTTATGTTGGGAGATAAACAATACTCATGCTTAATCTATAGTTAGTCATAGTTTGAATTTAATATGTACACACACACACACACACACACGCACGCACGCACGCACACACACGCGCGCACACACACGCGCGCACACACACACACACACACACACACACACACACACACACACACACACACACACACTTCTATATTTTATAAAACAAGAATTCACTGTGGTGCATTTTTTCCCACAACATTTTAATTTCCCATCCATTATATAATTTCTACATTTTATTTCTGACCCTCATTGTGGATATAATTGCTTTTATTGACAAAAAGACTGCATTTGTGAATGAATAGTGATTTAGTGTAGAATTAGTTGCAGATTTACAGGCGACAGACAATCTGACTCTCTCACAGACGCACACCATTTGGTCTATTTTTGAAAAGAGCCATGAGCATTTCATTCAACGCTGTTTCTGACTGCAGTTTCCACATACACACTTCTGAACAGTGGACATTTTTGTCCATAGCAGTTACATAACTAAATGTGCCCTTAAAAGACAACACAACAATGTCATTTCTGTATCTTTTTTTCCTCTGTCTCCTCTTTTTCCCACAGTCTGACCATATCACATTCTAGATTCTGAAACTGATTAATAGACCTGCCAAACAATGTCAGGCTTTATTAGATCAGTCCTTCTGCCTTAAAATACTGAAAGTCTCTGATAGATGCTTTTATATGCTTTCATATTTAGCCTGAACTTCTGTAACTGTTTATGTCTTAAAGTTATAGTCCACCCAGAAATGAAAACTTCCTCATCTATTACTCACACTCATGTGGTTGTAAACGTTTATGAATTTCTTTCATCTGTTGAACAAAAAAACAAGATATCCTGAAGAATGTTGGGAAAAAGCAGCCATTGTAGACAGATTACTACCATAGTTATTGGCTGTTTGTACCCCTAAACATTTTTCAAAATATCTTCCTTTGCGCTCAACAGAAGAGAGTAACAGGTTTGGAGCAAGTAGAGGGTGACAGAATATTTTTATTTTGGGGTGAATTACCCCTTCAAATGCATTTTTGTTATTGTGTCAATAACATTAATATAACATTAAATAATTTGCATAAATCATAATTAATAATCATAACACATTAGCCCTTCAGACGCAATTTTTTTTTAGAAAAATGTAAAAGTATGTTTTCACAGTTCTTGAGGCTCCTATAAATGACACCAAATTATAATAGTAAAAATTCATAAAATAAAATAAAAACATACATGATTGCTGGTATTATCTTGAAAATTGTTTTTAAAAAAGAGGTTTTGTTTTTAGATTACACCTTGTTTATAACAAACTTTGTCCATTCTAATAGACAGACATATTTGAAAAAAATCCTGATCTAAAGCTTGCAATGTTACAAAAGATTTAAAATTTTAATAAGCGCAATCTCACCTTTTACATACAACCTATCAAATACTGGCAGATATATCAATAAAACTAAATTAAAACATTGTAAATGTGTCCGGAGTGGAGTGATAACATGCTGCTATTCAGTGTAGAGGTAATTTTCAAATTACAACATGCCAAGCTTTATCGTAATTAGATGACAATGGTCCACTCTCATCGACTGCTGGCTTTAAATTAGATGAAATGTTTAATTTTCAGAAAACTCCCTTTCATT